CTACCATTAGTTAGTTCAATTAGCCATGCAGGTAGCAGTCCTGTTAGCTGTATACTGCATGTCTGTGAGCTGACTGTCCAGACTGGGAGGTCGGAGCACCAGGGAGGATTGCAACTAACAGAACACTGCTGTCGTCTGTACTTGATGACCTGGGAAAGAGAACAGGCTGTGAAGTGTGTAGGGGAAACTATACTAAACTTAATGCTAAGCTAGGCTAAACACATCCTGACTCCAGCTCTGTACTGAACATGAGCTCTTCTCACCTCACTCGAGGAAAGAAAGCATATAAGCGAATTTCTCAAAATGTTTAACTATTGCTTGTAATATTGTACATGTGTTTGATTCAAAAGACAATGTATACATGTATTTAAAATGATTATTAACATACAGAGAGTGACAAAAAAACACCTTTTCTCAATTACAGATAACTAAGTTGCCTGAACAGATACAGATAATGGTGAACTCACTCATCTGTTGTATCTGTAGCTCAGTCATTCTGCCATGCAGATAGTTTGGGTTTTATTTATGTTATCTACAGAGGGAGTGGGTCCTCTTCTGGCGGAGTCCGCCATGTTGAACCACAATGTTTCTAAAGTAGGTCAGAATGGACAAACCAAACACTGGCCCTTGATAGGGCTATTCACATTTTTTGCACATTTCCTGGCCACCGTAGTTTCTCCCTCGTGCTTTGAAGGGGAGGGTGAGTGTGAGTTGTGACCTGCGACTACACTATTACATACCACACAATCCCACACACTGGTCCTTTAAGCCTGAAATTGAACAGTTCTGAGCTTCAGAGCAATGTTTTTGATCACAAGACTACAATAACTATTTACAGAACAATCTTTTTAACATAAATTTCTATATTTATTGTTCATTAGAAGAACACATATTGAGATATTTTACTCTGATGATAAAAGTACATCTGTACTGGGTGCTTGTTTCAGCTGAGTACTCGCTCAACCCTAGTTTAGATTTGGATTATCCAGAGTAACAGGGACACTGTATCTGGAATGACATGTTTTCAGTTGATTTATTTTTTACTTTGCCATGAGTAGCACACACCAAATTCCATTCATCTATATTGTACTGGGATGGAGGCAGACATCTCAGAGACCAAACCTCAAAACCTTAACAAATGAAACTGAAACTACCTTGTGCGTGGCTAGATAAGCACACTAGTGAGAAAGTGAGAAACTATGTTTGTTTGTCATTTGGGTGAGCAGACCAAGAGACCAGAGTCTCCACACAGAGAGATCCAGTTGTCATCTCTCACACTGCTGGTAGAGTCATTACTGTGGATTCTTATGGTACTCTTTGTCATAATGTGGACACACATGTATTATAACCATGCATTACTGTACTTTTGATACATCTTGTGTATTTGGTTTCTTTTGTCTGTAGCTGAATGTGTTGTCATGTGTTCTTTTTAATAAAACACTCACTGCAGCTGTCATTCAAAGGTTGAAGAAGATTCCTCACTGAAAGCTTTCCTCAATAAATCAATAAAGCACAGATTGCAGTGTGGGGATGCTCTTCTGTATATGTTGAATGTGAGCTCCAGCACCTCCAACAAGCTAGTGAACGGTGATCTTTCTATATTAAACCGAAGGAAACCTCTTCATTGCGGGGACCCTCCGGGGGCTGGCTCCCCTTTGCAAACAGCTACCTCCTCTGGAAGAAAAGATGAGTGTGTGTGTGTCCTGCTCTGTATCATGCATTCATCATTCATAGAGAACATTACAAGCAGGCGTCCTTCAGCCACCCCTCAGCGTGCTCTCATCCAGAGGGACTTCCACCTCTAGTTCATCCTGCATGAAAATAAATATCTTGTTGCACTCTGGAGGCTGTGGAAGCGCTGTCCCACCTCAGAAGGGGAATTTGGAAACAGTAACAAAGCACTACTAATCACACAGGGCAGAAAACTAGTGCTGCACTGGCCTCTACAGGTTCAACACAGGTTATTGCACTCAGATGGTGAGCATTTGAACCTGTGATTAAACCTGTAGAGGCCACTGCAATGCTGGCTTCCTGCAATGTGTGACTGTCAGTGGTGTTTTCTCTGATTCACACACAAAACTTGCTCATGTGTTTTCTTTCACATCCTATCATCTTTTATTCATCCCAGGTATTCAGCTTCTATTTATTGATGCTCCCAAGCGGCTCTTCCTTTAGTACCATTCCTGGCTTTTATAATGAGACAGATTTAGATCATTTGACCTATGATTTGTATGTGTGCACATATATCACCTAAATGCAATTTACTAAACCTTATCATCTCCAGCATACCATAACTTTACATGCTTGGTATAAAAATCTTAAATAATGTAAAAACATAATATGACATGTTATTTATATCGAACTATGTTTTGTGTGTTGGCGACCAGCACAACATCAAAGTCTATACACTAATGAAAATATACCTATATATATTTCTACCAATAGATCCTCCTAAATGTTACACATTGGACCTTTAATGCTATTACCAAAGTGAGAAATGTCTAGATTGTGACACATCAGTCTACTGTGATGATGTGATGTGAAAGTTGTCCTATTCATTTATGGAGGATACCCCACCATTTCCCTCAAGCTGCTGCCATACAGTCTGTAAAAAATCAACAAAAAACAGCAACAAAAAAGGAAACAGGGACATAGTGTCTATGATTTTACAAACAGGTTTGTGAACCCTAGCAACTTCTATAGACCTTTTTCACAGCAGCTATTTTGAGATGAAATAACAGGTATAACCAATAAAACTATTTAAGGCTGTGTTCCATTTAGGGTGCTGCTATTGTCCCTTTTGGATCACTGGCTACACTAAAGGTAACGGAGCCTTAATCAGTATCAGTGTCAACAACACCTGTGTTTACCCTACTATTTCATGTCAAAATGGCTGCTATTGAATCACAGAGAGTGTGGGTTTAATGAGCCCGAGCAAACAACCCCCACTGATTGAGACACGTGTCAATGTACCACACATACTTCTATTCAAAGCTGCATTAGACATTTTTTTGGCCACTTGGGGGCAGCACAACAAAGCTACAGACACAATATTTTCATTTTAGAGAGTTTATATGGCGATGTGTTGTCTATTTTTTTAACCAATATGTGTTGGAAAACCAATACACGAGTCAGAAGTTTCACTAGATCAATAAAAAAAACAACAGATATTAGTAAAAACAGATATTTCGAGGTAACTTTCTTTCTCTATGTCTCTATGCCTCTGGCGTGTGCAGCCCACTTATCTCCCCCTGGCTAACATTCCCCAGTCAGATACCTGCTTCACAACATTCCCACGTGTTAGCAGGTTAGCAGCTAATGTTAGTTCTAACTGCCCCCAGACTCCTCCCATTTACTGAAGACGTGTGCTGTTTTATTTCCATGGACGGACAGCCGGTTTGACATTGTTACTAAAATACCAAATTGAGAAGGATGACACTGTCTTCAGTCAGTCAGCAGCAGTTTGAGAAAACGTTACCCATGCAGATGTTGACTACTGTTTCTGATGAAGAGGACGGCATTTACTGGGGCATCTTATGATTCAGTATTTGAAATAAATAAATATCTGGATCGTTTTCGTATATGCTATTACCAAACCTAGCAGATACGCAGCAACATCAGCATTCATTCAAACAGTCAGACACTAAAACGCTCCGTAGAGCCGAGGAGAACGGCAGAGTCAGCTGATCAAACTGTCACCATGACGCAAAGAAGAACATAGAGCCACGGTAGAAAATCTAACTTCCTGTGGAAAATACACAATATATAGAGAAGTCGGAGCATTTTGAGTGGAATCCCGGGCAGTTGGAGAATTTTTGGAGCCGCCATCTAGTGGCCATCAGTGGCACTGTTTCAGCACTGTTTTGTCCAGGTAGAGGTGAATGGAATTTTGAAACAATTTCATGGAGACTATTTCTTTATTAGAAAGTAGTTCCAATGGAAACTGCTGAAAAACAGTGAGGCCTATTCCTATCCAGAGTAAACAGGACACTTAGACATTTCCAATACTATGAGCACCAAAAATAAAATTCCATTCACCTCCATTGTATTGGGATGGAGGCAGAAGCCTCAGTTTGTTTGTGTGTAAATATATATAATTTGGGTGAACTGACCCTTTAAAACATGTATTTTTCCCCCAGGTTAGATACTCCTTCTTTCCCTCTGAATATACAACAGTGTTGCAATGCTGTGGTGCTAATGCGCCAGACGACTGAGCATTTCCTCATCAGTGAAACCTGCACTGGAGGATCAATCACATTCCTCATTTTGACTGACAGCCTGCTCTCAACTGTTTGTACATGGCCCAATGTTTCCTTCACATTTCCCACAAGTTTTATTCTAAAACATGTAATGACCCCACAATGTCAGATGCAGGATATTGCTGTCTGACACTGTCTTTAAAGAATATGGTTGGGGTAATTGTGTATTTTCCTTATTGCCAACAAATGCCATGAAAAGAGGAAAGGTGTGACAGTTTTTATGTGCTGAACTGAACAAAACTAAGAACAATGAAATACTGGCACAAAAATAACACATTTTATTGCATTATCTCAAAACAAAATGATTTAAAGGACTATTGTTTTGTGTGGAAATCTTCCTTTTTGCCTAATGAGACTGATTTCTTTGTTTCTTCTGTCTGTCTGTCTTTGTTAAAGGCTACAGGTCAGCGACAAACCTAAGTTATGCTTCAGCTATCTTTGTCAAAAATGTAAAATCAAACTTTAGAATAATTTAACTGGCTGAACTAAAGAACATGTAGGCTATACCGGGAACACTGACTGCTTTTCTGGAAGTCTCAGCTATGGTGAAGCTGAAATGAGGACATTCCTGTTAGACAGCCTGGGTGGAATTTGAATAGTACAGAGGAACCGCCTGACGCTGATTGGTCGAGAGCCACATATTTCTAGAGCGCCACTCTGTCACTCAACAGATCCCAGGCAGCTGATTGGCTCTCCCTGAAGAGGGCGGATCCTTCGTCTTAGCTATATATATTCTGCTTTCAGGCCATCTGCAAATGATTGCTGACTCTGTGCGGGAGGCGGATCGTTGTGTCCGATGTTTCTCCACAGAGCTCACTTGAACCTTTCTCCTCGAACAAAACGATCCCCATTGAGATAGCCGACAGTCGGTTTTCCTCTCCCGGAGAGGAGCTGGAGGTGGACCGGGGGTACATAACAATGATCAACACCATGGAATGCGCAGTGGACGCGCAAAGCCTGATCTCCATTTCCTTAATGAAGATCCATAACTCCAGGACGCAGAGAGGGGGGATCAAGCTGCACAAAAACCTGCTGGTCTCGTATGTACTGAGGAACGCCAGACAGGTCTACATCAAGGAGAAATACGCGGAGATCTACAGGATGCAGCAGTACGAGGAGGTGATGACGGTCTGCAACGAGATCCAGGAGCTCAACCCGCTGGATCTGGACGCGGAGGACGCCGACGATGAGGAGCAGGCGCGGGCTGCTTGCTGCGGCGAAGAGGCGAGTCTGTGCGGCTCTGCGTGCCACCGAGACGCAGCGCAGCCAGCGGCGCACGCCCGGACGGCCAGCGCTCTCCCCGGCTGTGAGGAAGACTGCAAAGAGCCGGAGCCCTCGTACTACCGGAGCTGCTGCATGGAGGCTTCCCCTGTGTCACACTGCGACCAGTTCCCCGCGAACAGCAGCGCGCACTGCAACAAAACCACAGTGCTGGACTTGGACACGCATGTGGTGACCACGGTGGAGAACGGCTACCTCCACCAGGACTGCTGCTGTGACGCGCTCCAGTGCGGCCAGGGCGCGCAGTCCCCGGCCAAGAAACGCAAGGTTGAGTTCGGTTGTTGTGTCTCCGACGTTGAAGAAGTGTCAGATTTTACAGCGGCTCGCAAAAGGGCCAAACGGGAGGACTGTTCGTACTCCCACCCGGACTACACGGACACTTCCAACATCTCCAACCTGATCTCCATCTTCGGTTCGGGGTTTTCAGGGCTGCTGAGCAGACAGGCGGACTTGGAACAGATCTGTAGCAAGCAGGTTCTGGCCAGTCTGGGAGCATGGACTCGGGCAATTGTGGCATTTTGAATCAAACACTTTATTTTAGGGGGGACCGGGGTCGGTTGTAACATGTTTTTTCACAAAGTGTTGGTAAACAAAACCCAGTGGAGGACTTTCTTCTACTGCCAGCTTGTTTGGGAACATTTTCCTAAGCTCCCGTTCCCTTATGGTTCCCAGAGGAAAGTTTACATATCCACAGTGTTTTATGTAAGAAAAAGATGGACTTTGTGGGACATTTGGCAGAGTAACCTTTACGGGAATGTTCTGAGAGACATTTTTAAATTATTACACAATAATTAGTGAACAAATTTGTCACAAGTTTATAAATTAACTTATCCCATATAAAGTGTGCTGCTTCCCTCACCTTCATTTCTGAACATTACATATGTTCATTTTCCAATAAACATTGACAAATAACTTTTAGCTAAATGAGGTTTAGCTTGCGTTACAGTTGACCCCACAGTGTCAGCCATAGTAAAAATACCATGTGATAAACTCACAACTTTGACATCAGCTAGCATACTTGTAACCAAAACTTCAATTCAGACTGTACAGAAGATAAGTGTCAAGGACTATACCTCAGAGCTTTTGTCTAATGAACATTTGTGAGTCACCGGTGTGCACTGGGTGAAATCACCTTCACTTGTTTCTGATTGGAGGGAAACGAGGTGGTACAACCAAACCCGGTCTCCCCTACAACGTCTAAATCAACTTTATTTTTGCAAGAAAAAGCTATTTAAATGAGCATTTTAATGAGAATAGTGTTTGGCAGGGAGGGGAAAGAGTGTGTGCCATATGTATCATGTACAGGCTCTCCTGTTTACACAGTGGGAGATGCAGAATACACTTTTGAGACTGATGAAATGGATTTTCTTCTGTTGCCTTAAATCCACTGCACACTACTGCTAGCTATTGTCATGGATCGAAAGTGACTGAATGTCCCTCCTGTCCCGGGCCGAGCAGCCCTGTGGAAAAACACCCCCGTCTCCAGTCTGAAATGGACCTTGCACATTCGGAGCAGCTTGTTGTCACGTTCAAGACTCCCTCCTAAAAACACTTCCGAGGTACATGGACTCAACTGGCTTATATCACTTAATGGAGTGCCAACACTTAAATTCTGTAACACTTTTGGGCTATTAACATGGCCATCACTTCACCTCCACTCCCAGTGTGTGGTAGCAAACAGTACCGGCTTCATTTTGGCCGTTTGACATCCTCTCTTAATCATGGTTGTTGCTCAAAGCCTCCACAGCGATTCATAATTCCAACATGTCTTGGTTTTGTGAGTGTTTTTTTTTTTTTTTTTTTAACTTTGTTTTGTAAGAGAATGATCTTAGTCCTTTTGTTTTAAAAAGGCAAACTCATGATTTTAGCCATAACCTGAGAATCCACGCATTAGCTTTATGAGCACTATGTGTACCAAAATAAAGAGAGTATTCAGCCATTCTCTACATATTTTGTTGTTATTCTTGTATTTTTGTGCTTACTAAATTGTATATCACCGGGTAAAACTGTTGCAGAAAGTATTTGTTAAAAATTTATAATCTTAATAAAAAATGAACATCTTAACTGTTGTGTTTGACTGCGGTTACGAAGCTGTTTAAAGACTGATGGGGTTCCGGGCCTGCAGTGGCTGACTGAGATGGTACCAGTATGAAAAACACTCATATATATATTTGTAATAAACCTAAGAAAGACAACCTTTATCTAGGGTTTATAGGTTTTGGCTTTATATTTATTAATGAATAATAATATTTATTAATGTAAAGTATGTGATTTTGTTCACATAATGAAAAAATCCTATTAATGTAGCTACACATGTTAATAAGACAGTAATAAAGAGTTTATGACTCAATGATTATTGTTAAGGTTAAATGAATAGTTTGACATTTGGGTAATACTCTTATTCCCTCTACGTAGAGTTCGATGTGAACATCAACACCACTCTCAAATAATTACAAAAACGCTACAACAAGCTAGCCAGTTAGCTTAGCACAAAGACTGGACAGCTAGCCTGGGTCTGTCCACAGGTTTCCTCTAAAGATCAATTTTGCTAATTGCTAATTGTATTAGTCTATTTCTTAGCTGAGACTAGTAACTTCCTGGAGTCTCTGCTGGTTGCCTGGCAACTGCTCAGAGTCTAACAATAGTTCCGCAGCTAATCCCCGTAAAATGGAAAATTCGAATTTTCATTCTTTGGTTTTTGTAAAAAAGTAAACATATGTTAAACACATCGCATGTTGATTATTGGACAGATCCAGGCTAGTGGTTTCCCCCTGTTTCTTGTCTTTGTGCTAAGCTAAGCGAACCAGCTGCTAGCTGTAGCTCTATATTAAATGGACAGATACGAGATGACCATGACAGTATTATTAATGACCTGTAACGGAATTATAAATGATTACATAATTATTGAACATTAATAAAGCAATTAGTAAAAACATCTAAACCTGTGGAAACATAATATTATAACAGTAATACTATATAATACCACTATCCAAAACAACACTACCTGTTTATATTATTCTTTATTCTAGTTTGATCAAATAAAAAAAATAAAAACTTGACTCTAGGTCCTATTATGACATTTTTCTGGGCTTTCAGCTGCATGTCATGGTCTTCCTCTGTGGATATAATCCATTCATTATATGATGCTTGGTCAACGGATGTGTTTCAATGAGCAAACCTCTTTGTTAGTGCAGTTGAAAGCTCCAGAAGAGTTAGTAAGTGGACCTTGAGTTAATCACTACTCTTTTTCTGTCAAACACAAACTACATCCTCTTAAAATCACCAGCTCAACCAACTCCTCTCTGACATAAATTGAACATTACCACTAATCACGTTAGTTACATAAAGATGCAGCGCTGTTGGAGTGTATATAGGCTCTGCAGGGAGAGTGCTGCAGATAATCAATCATCAATTACTCAATGATCTAAAATAGGTAAGGTTTGTCATATCTATGCTAAACGTCACCAAAAGGCCTCCACTACCGGTACGTCATGTGGCTACGTTCTCATTCCCGCTTGGAATTTTTCCCCCTTTGCAAAAACTCTGAGTCCTGTTATCTCTGCTCTGTGCCACTTGGTGGTGTTCTTTAAAATCAATGAATGAAGATATCAGTGGGGCTGTGTATGCAGAGCAGAGCCACCTCAGCCTGACCCTCCCTCAAACTCACCAGCCCCCTTCCCTCCTCCTCCTCCTCCTCCTCCTCCTCCTCCTCTTCCCGGCTGGCTCGTTTTTCAGCCGCTCTCTTAGAGTGAGGCATCGCTCTGCCCCAACACATCACATCCATCGCTGCTGCTCCTCCAGCTCTGCAGGCTTTTTCCAGCTGCCGCTACCCATAATAATTTGCAGTTGGTAGGTTGTAATGGAAGTGATGAGGCAATGTGAACAATGCATTGTGTAATTACAGCAGGAATGGACTGCAGGGGGGATTCAATATCGGATTATTTACAGAGAGCATCTGCCTGCGCATTAATACACACATTCTTTGCTTTAACAGAAGGATTCCAACAAAAGAAAAACGTGAAATGATAGCAGAAACAAACGCTCCAGCCCTCTCTGCTGCTCACAAATGGTGTGGACAATGGGTTGTGTCTGTGTGTATGCACAGCTCCTCCATCTGGATTGGGAAAGACTGACACCCATGAACACACACAATAAAAATCTCTGATTTCCTTTTTGGCTTCAGTGATTTTGTCATTGATTTAATTTCCCCATTTTTTATTTCCAAATGCATTTAGGTTCTTCCCTCAGTATTTTGATATGTGTGTGTGTAAAATAAAAAATACAGACCAAGCAACAAACTCAGGTATCTGAAACACAGTAACCCAACTGAACAATGTAGAAGATATTTATTTGAAGACAAATAAATAAAAATAAATAGAACCTATAAATTGAAAGCATGACATAGGATACAAATACTGCTACTTAACTTTTTTCTTATTCATTTGGCCGATCAGCCACTCTGATCACCGCATCCACATTAAAGGACAATACCAGGTGGTGGGGGTGACATGGGGGGGGGTGTGGCGACTAGTGTTAGTGTATGGGGGTGCTGGGAGGAGGAGGGGTAGACAACAGAGGGAGGGGGGGAGAGAATTGAGGGGGGTTAGCGGGGGGGGGGACTGCTTTGTCAGGAAAGGGGGTTGACATGTTGAGGGGGGATTTGTGGAGTGGGGGGAGGAGGCCACATGTGACAGCAGAAGGGGGGGGGTCTGGTGGATGGGGTGGGGGGTGGACTGTAGGGAATAGGTGTGCTGGCAGGGGGAGGCAGACTGTGGCAGCAGAGATCGTACAGGTCAGCCAGGTTGCACAGAGGTCTGTGGGGGGGGGAGCAGGGGGAGGGGAGGGAATAGGTCAGGGAGGGGGTGGGCAGGGGTCCAGGCTGTGAGGCACAGCAGAAAAACCTTTAAAAAATTCCCCTTTTAAACCAGCTTTGGTCTGCCATGTAAACTAGCTGTTTTTTAAAATGACTTTGATATTTTCACACTTTCCTCCAGATTAGATAATGATGTCACAATGGAGTAAACCGCCTTCTGATAATGTGAAGCTATGATGGTCCAGCTGTCACAGATGTGCTGAATCAACCCTCAATGAATCAACGTTAAAGAAAGGGTCAATTTAAAAAGGGTAAATTCCAAACAAACAAACAAAACTTATTTTCATTTACGTTTAGTTGTATCTAAAAATACAGATTTAATTAATCCAGGTTTTGAATATCTTCTACCCCAACACAATGCAGGTGAAAGTCAGAAATGAGTGAACACAGGAGACTACAGCCATGCTCGCAGCTCTGTGAGGCTAAATCTAAATTTCATCTATTTGCTCCAATAACATTTTAAAGTCTACAACGGTTATCTCCGTTCCAGTTAGTGGAGGGCTAAACCGGAAGCTCGGCCGGTGGAAGTCTCGGTGCGCTCCATGGCTCGCTGGATGTGAAGCGTATATGGAAGATACGGGAAATTGGTCAAAGTTGTTTGGCTGAGCAGCTTCCATAGGAATGAACTGAGCCCCCCCTCCAACGCTGTATCCAGGTCTGCTTTGTGCTGAATGCTATCATCACCATGCTAACGTTCTCAATAGAAATGAATAGAATCTGGTTTATGGGGTTTACAGCATTGAAAAATGACATTTACACAAGAAGCCATGCTAGCAGCTCTGTGAGGCTGTGCTTAGGGGCAGTGCTGCTAACATGCTAGTTTAGCAAGTTATCTTCTTAGGTTAGAATTTTAGCATGCTAATGTTTGGTAATTATTACTTAAAAGACCAGTGTGTAGGATTTTGTGGCTACCTGAATGTTGTTCGCCTCCCAAACCTTTAGGAGGCGCACCGAAAGAGCCAGTGTTTGGTTTGTCCATTCTGGGCTACTGTAAATACACGTCGGTTAAACATGGCAGACCCCCTCGAAGAGGACCCGCTCCCTCTGTTGATAAAAGCGGCTCAGGCTAAGGTAACAAAAACACTACGATTCTTATATTCAGCTGATTATACACTAATGAAAACATACCTAGGAATATTATATTCCACTTCTGCCAATAGATCCTCCTCAATGTTACACACTGGACCTTTAACCACCAGAGGTCAGCAAAAACAAGATACTCAGGGGCTATAAAGTTCCTCTTTAATTGAGTTTTTTGTAATGTGGTCTCAGTAGTTATCTCATTACCATAATTATCATCATCAAGAAAACAAGGTTTTCCTGAAACAAATGTAGCTACAGCTTTCAGACTGGGAGATGAAAGAATTTTCATTCTGTGTTTGCAAACATCCCAAACTATTCTTGCTGCTAGAAGATGACACTGTTTACAGCATGAAAGGTCCTCTTAGTCCTGGAAATAAAATGTGTTGATGAAAACACACAAATAAGATGCAGATTACTGGCATATTAAAGTAAAATACAGCAAGAGTCCTATTCAAATATGCCATATCGAAACACATACTTTCTGCAAGATGACTTAGATTAAGTTACACCCAAAGAGGGTTGCACTCTAATTTGCATTTAGGCCACGCCTATATATAGATATCTGCCACTCCCTTATTTACATAATACAGGCCAGATCACTCTTTTTTACATTCTGCATATCAACCACACCTCCATTTTCATAAATTAAAAGTAAAAAATAGAGCACGCCTCTTCCTCTTATTCTAATTGGCAGAATCAGTGATACATACTGATGAAGAAGACAAACCGCACCCACATTTTAACACTGAAAGAACCAGGCCACGCCTCCATCTGAATATTAAATAGCCCATTGGACCCTATTGCATATTGGAAACTAGGTTATGCCCATATTTGCATATTGAGGGCAAAATATGCTGTATCTTATTTACATATCATAATAAACACAAATTAGGTCACAGTTTGCACGCACCCATGAGGAAATTCTCCTGGAAGAAAATAAATTACATTTACATGTAATTTAAGAAATGATAATAACTTTAGTTAATAAAAACATTTAAGATAATTAAAATATATTATAATATTATTATTACCCAGACTGGATGTTCATGTGGTGCATTTGCTGCTACTCTCCAACGGTGCTGTACTCAAATCCTATTTATTAAAGCAGCTAAGGAACATTCATTTTGTGTTGATTCTGTGTTTGATTCCTGCCTTTCAGATCTTAATATTATCAGCTAAATCTACTAAAACCTTTATGATCAAAGTAAAAGTGCATGGGAAAAAATGTGATTAGTGTATTATTACTGATACATAAATGTGTACAGTTAGTGGTATTTTATTGTTGTAGTTTGGTGAGGTGAGACTAGTTTTGACCACTTTGCATAGACCGTCCAGTCGTTCCCAACTCAAGAGTTGGACCCCTCCAAAGGGCCACAAGATAAATCTGAGGGGTCGTGAAATTTTAATATAGTAGGAAAGAAGTTTTGCTGCGCAAGTTTATATTCTTTTTTTTTTTCCTCCAATCTTTGTTTTTTTTGTTAAAGATTGTATAATTGTACCTCTTTCAGCCTTAAACAGTTCTGTAATAAGTGAAAAGTTAGAGGACAAAATCACCCTTTGGTGGAAATGCAGCAACTCATAGACCTCCTCACTCATAGGCCAAAAAAAGTTGGGAACAACTTTATTAGCTATATTTGTAAAATCTTAACCTGGAAAGCAGCCTTCTGATAAATGCTGTGGAGTTTAAAGTTTCCACCTGAGTTATAGCGCATAAAGTATAAAGTAGCATCAAATGGAACTACTCAAGTAAAGCACCTGTAATTGTACTTAAGTACAATTTGTGAGTACTTAACTACTTTCCACCACTGCTCTCCATCGTCCTAAGTCTGCAGCTGCATCCCATTTCAGAAACTGCCTCCATGGAAGTCCACATTTCAAGCCCAGACATGTCAGAACGGGTCGACGCAGCTGTCCCATTCCAAACATTCCTCTGAATGAGGCCAAGAAATTCTGCCTTTTTCTCCCTCAGATTTGCACCCGAATACATCATCCACACTCACTAGTGAATTCAGTCGTCATCGACTAATAAAGTCGTCCATTTCCTTGTTCCTTGCTGACACCTGAGCGGTAAATCCCAGGGGTAGACCGGTCCCCAGATACCTTAAACTGATGCGGTGATGCTTTACCTCAACACAATGGACAGCAATACTTTTAAACTGCCAATATCACTTCAAATTCTCAGTAACACGTTGTGTTAAGCTACACATACTCATCATTATCTGGCTGCTTGTTAGCATGCATCTTTGTAGCATATTAGCTGTTTGTTAGTCATTATAAAGCACTGACTGTGTGGTATTCACCATAAACTACAGCTACGAGGCCATTAATTAAGAGTTTTCCCTCAACAACCTCCTAATTTCTGCTTATTGATAGTAAGTAAGGAAGTACATGCTGTACATGACTTATTAGTATGGGCCTTATAAGGTGGTTTTAGCAGAAGGATTTTCACAAGGACATTCTGCTTAATGCCACTAATAAATAACAATCTTATGTAACAAGACACACAGTTACAAGTGTTCATAATGTCCCAGTAATTCTAAAGTGAGCTCTTGGTCATAACTGATGTGCTTTGTTCAGTATGGGCAAAAGTCACAATACTTTGAACTATTAAACTCGTTTTCGACTTTAATTGAAATCTTTTACTTTTAATTTAAAACAGGGTTTTAAGTTTTGTTACATAAGAGTAGACCATATTTATAAATTGTTATTACGGGAGAATGAGTATTCTTGTGGTTCTACTACCATATAAGGCTGATACTGAGCAAAGCACATTAAGATCATAATTCACCTCAAAATGATCCAATTTGTGGAACTCTATATTTAACTCTGTCCAATATCCAGGGACATGAGGTGGAACCTGACCCGGTGTTGGCTGTATTTGGGGTGCTGGGGAAGGACAGCCTTCTCAGAGGACACCTTTATTAAACTGGAAACAGGCACAACCTCCCACTTTCACATTGTTGATCAAAACCCTTACGCAACACCTTAAACTGGAAACACTCACATTTATTTGACCAAATTTAAATAAATATCCTCTTTACTATAATAATGATGTCACTCACCATGTAAAGCAGCTCTGCACCTGGATTAATGTTTATACTGTATCTGTACTGTACAGGTTCTAATGTTTTTTTATGTGTATGTACATTCTGTACTGTTTTGACTGACTGAAAAGATTTGGGCTCCCCCTTGTCCTCTTGCTCAAAATGAATCAGAAAATCAAAATAAGACCTGCATGCTGGAGAGCTAGACAGCTTTTCCAAATCAAGCCATGTGAGGATATTCCTAATTATCCCAATAAGGAAAATTCTCAACACACTATATTTGTTTTTATTGCAATAATATTGTATATCGGCCCATCCCTACTTACTCAATAATCAGATATAAGGAGGTTATTGAGGGCAAACTCAAGTAGTTGTAGAATATGGTAGGGTAAATTTGGGCATTAATAAGTGCTTTTTAACAACTAATAAAGATCCAATATGCTACTACTATGCATGCTAATAAGCAACTACTTAATGTAACCTTAATGTAAAGTGTTACCAAATGCTCTATCTGCTAGGGTTGTATGGCTGACAGCATCAGTTATTACTTTGTGTGCAACTTCACCAGTTTGCTTGTGAGAACATGTGATGCAGAGTTTCTGAGTGGCAGACTGCTGGTTTAACATTGTTGAGCAACATGTTGAGGCTGTTGACAAGAACGAACACTGGAGTTTGTGCCTGGCTTTCAGTGGGCCCGTTCATGTGATACATTTACTGACTGAACACAAAGAACTGCTAAATACGACCTGATGTCTGTCAGACTTTGTGAGCTGACGCTTTTTTTCACTCTGCATCAAGGGCCAGAGCTTCGTTGATTCAGCTGGGGAGGCTTCACTCTTCTAAAGGCCACACCTTCACAGGCTAGTCCCTCAGTTGTCTCTGGACTGCCGTGCTTCATTCTACCTCTGTCTGTGCTGCAGTCCAACATCCTGTGTGTGAGGGGAATTCCACCTCGGCCCTTTCATGAGGACTTGTAGTAAGTACAAAAAAAAACCAAAAAAAAAAACCGAAGGACTGTTGCATGTTGTTGTGGAGTTCCCCTACTCCTGGTAACCGCAACTGTTGAAAAAAAAATCATCCTTCACACAGAGGAGTTGTTCCTGACTCATGCAATATTCAACACTTTCTCCCCTCATTTCAGAATCCATCTGCCTCACTGCTTGGTTCATCTCTGGGTCACACAGGCAGCCCAGTCCCTTCACAGTAAAACAATGGACCTCACGCAAGAACACTCGTACAAGCAAATTAACTCTTAAAGGTCCAGTGTGTAATATTTATGAGGATCTATAGTGAGAAATGGAATATAAAATTCATAGGTATGTTTTCATTAGTGTATAATCACCTGAATGAATGAACCCAAGCATCGCCCTCCATGGCAAAAGACAAAAACTGCACTTCCTCTAACAACCACCTGAGGCTGGCTCCAACAGTGAGTCAATCTCCATAAGGCCCCATATTAAAAAGTCCAACTGTACAGCAGAAAAACACGTTTACAGTCTTGTGCATTCGTAGCATTGCAACTTCCTCTGATGACTCGTTGCTGACAGTTGTACTTTTCATATTTTCTGATTGTTCCGGGTCAAAGAACAGGCAGCCATATATGGCAAAGTTGAGCCGCTGATTATGCTACTGATGAAAAAAAAATCACAAACTCATACCTCCTGATGAACAGGTGGTATTCATCAGGCTGAAACTAATTTACCACTAGTAAATGTAGTTCTAAATACAACTTGGAAAACTTGAAAACGATCAAACCTTGTAGGAAAATGTACACAAAGTATGGAAATGTTCTTGAATCAAGTAAGATTTCTCAGGATTCAAACAGGAATGTTAATGTTCACTGCGAAATTAAGCCTGTTACACGTGATGAAAAGACAAAAACAATTTCTCACTTATATTTGTGATTATAAAATCGTTCAAATTAGTGGTGAGCCAAAGTGGGAACATATTTGTCTTTAGTGGAACTTAGAAACTGAGAACAAAATTGCGTGGTAGGGTCACCAGATAAAAGATGAGAAAAGGGAGAAATTTATTAAATCAGGTTGGACAGGTCAGTGTAATAACAAAAAATAACTTTTCTTTAATTAAAAAAAACACATGCCAAGATGTTTAAAAATCCGCCAATTGAACCTATGCAGGATTGAACACATTTATATCTTGGGTCAAATCCGAGGTAAAAAAAACAAAAAACAACTACAATATTTCACCTGGGTTGAGAAATTTGAGGAAAAAGTTGCACAGAACAACCACAAAGTACTCAGGTATGCTTTTATCAATTCACACTGCCTACCATAACTCAACCTATGAAAAAGAAATCCATTTTACTTAAGATGGGGGTGAGCTGGGACCATGGTGAAGCCATGGGTGCAGACTACTGGTAGTGACTTCTAAGGGGCAGACTGAGGGAAAAATAAAACTACATTTCATGCAGAACTTCTTTCCTGAACTGACTTTCTAAAGAAATGATGGTGAAAGAAATATTCTGTACATTCTATTTTGGATGAGCTGTTGTGGAAGCTTTAAAGATCTGATCCCTAACATTGAAAGGCTGAGAGATTTTCTTCAGGAAAAAACACTCAAACACGTAATTTCTTAGCAAATTATTAATGTGACTGGCATGTTTGGAGGAAGTGGGCAATGAAATACAGATACATTTGCAACAAAATTAAAACATTTGGCCTTAAAAGCAAAATCAAGAAAATAGCTCAAATTGAAAAAGAAACTATGACAAAAGATTCTGTGGAAGTCACACAGTCATATTTGTATCACCCCACACTGAATGAGCCTACTGCTCATAACTCTGAGGTAAATTCAAGCGTTAAACTTCAAATAGCACACTTCTAAAAAAAAAAATCCCCCCCATCCCTCAAAAAGGAGCAAATCCAAACTCAATCCATTATATAAATAAAATGACAAAAATATAAAGATGCTCCAGAATCACAGAAGGTCATCCACAACACGCTCTGCATTAAAGTTACGGATGGCCTACAAGCTTCCATTCCCACATGCGTGTACATGTGGGAATGCGTGTGTCAGACTACATGTGGTTGATTTTTTGCTACTGCATTTGCACGTGAGGATGCCAGAGGGAGGGAAAACTGTTGGGATTTTGGTCTTTCCATTGTGCACACTGCATGATCGTCAAGGCTTTATTGGCTGGATGGACAGCAGGCTGCCGAATTTGAAGTGCTGGATCACGGGGAACTTCTCCAAACACTGGAAATGGGAGGAGGAAAAAGAGAAACATGAGGAAAAATTAGAAAAAAATAGGGCATTTAAAGTGAAGATGGTTAAAGCCTTAGTATGTTTCAAACAAAGTGCTTGATGGATCCTCTTAACAGCGCAACATCTTTTCAGAAAAGACTGTCCTTAAATGTACAGTATGTAATTTCTACCACTACGGCACCGGTTCTCAAACTATGTGAGTTGGTAAGTTGGTGATTGACGGAACAGTTGAAAGACTAACAAAAGGTGAGTTTTATTTTGTTTCTGTCCACACTTTGTGGTAAAAAAAGGGTATCTCTGTAGGGATCCTTTCCATAATGCTGTCAGACACTTGAGACACTGAGCCTGTCAGTGGCAACAACAACTGTTAGTGGATGTACTTTGACGGGTGCATTTGTCCCCAAGGATTAGCTAATGTTGCGTCCGCCACTGCAACCCTTTTCACAAATATTTATTAAACTTGGTGAATTAAGTTTTTTGACCAAACCAGAGTTGGTGACTGTTGGAAAGACTGTGTAAAGCCTAAAATGTGTTTTACGAATATCCGTAATGTAAAGTTACAGGTTTTGGTCTCAGATGCTGGTGGCTCTAGTGTGGCATCTAGTGGCAGTGAATTTTGTGTATATAACCTTTAGCTTAATGTATATTGTAATGTACATTTTTGTGTTATGTATTTCAGAAACATTGGTTACCTACAATCACTTTAAGTGGACCAAATATAAACATTTTGTCATTCCTCACACAAGTCTGTCCGTAAGAATGAGGTGATATGAATCTGTGAAAGTTGCAGCAGCATCTGGTAATGTACAGGGACCTTTCATTGCTTGAGGTTTAGTAACAGGAGGACATGTCCTTGTCTTTTCCAAGAGACATTGAGAGAAGCCCTAACCCCGAGAGTCAACCTTGACCTGAGGTGTGGCTGTTAGCTCTTCCCACTGGCCTTTCACTTCTGAACATGTTCAAAATGGCTGTAGAGCAGCCCAGAGGAGGCCCTTTGTGCGTATGGACTTGGACCCAGTTTTGGGGCGGGGGGCGGGGGGCAGGGGTGGGGGTTTTGGGTGTCTGCTATTGGGGGTTGGGAGGCTGTGCTGGGGGAACACAGTGGAACTGAACTCTCGGTCTGTGCGGTGACACTATCAGTGGCGATCATTGGGCAGAACTGGGGTGGAAAAGCATGCCTCAGAGAACTCTGGTCCAAACAGATATATAATCAATGAACATCTGTAAAATCATGTAAGGGTCATTGATCACAGATAAACCTTTCATACAAAACATTTAAAAGGCCTTCATTAGGTAGGTTATATGTCATATTCCTGGGCTTCACCTATGTTTTAGCCTCGTTAACTACTGACTTTATGTCTATATTTTATTTATTCAACAAATCGCAGACCAAAACCAACAATGAATGCATCTAGTAACAAGTACTGTGTGTATAAGCCTGATATATCTTCTTCCTCTGTGCCATTGAGCTCCAATGTTGTCCATAAACTATTAAAAACACATCAATGAGCCACACTGTTGCACTGGGTGACATGCTCCTTCACTACCATGACAACACACTCTGTAGTTTATTTTCACTCAGTCACACATACACCGTCCATCTTCTGTAGAAACCAATGGGTTTGGAGCTGAGAGCCAGACACGGGGAGGTCAGGCGAGTATTGAGACTAACACGTGTGTCTTTTTGGTCTTTTCATGAGATTTAACAATGAGAACAAATATAGAATTACACAAGCCTTAACTGGTAAGTGTTTTTGATGTGTTCCTTCTGGGCAGTCTGGGTTTCATTCAATCCCTCCAGTATGTAAATTAACCTGTTGAGACTTACAACTAGCTTGCCTTTGACAACAGTAACTCAGACGTGATGTTCACTGTGATGAATTATCCCTCTCAAGCAAGTTTCAAGTCTGTGCAAGTTGATTTTTTATAGTGCATTTAAATGAAGTGAACTCGATAGCTCGCTGAAGAGGAGGACAAAACCCCAACTTATACATGGCTGGTAGTAAACGGGGTACAATGTGCCGAAACGCTAGTAGGGGCCTTTAATAGGTGAAAGCTGGGTGGATGGACAAGACATAGTGTGTAATTCTGTCCATTCAAGTCAAGCTAACAAGGCCAAGTCCATCTACCATTGTGTCTCTGAGCACGTGTCATTTAACACATTCAGTTTATGTCCCAAACAGGCGTCAAAGCTTCAGAATCGCCTCCTCTCTCAGACAGAAAATGGTGGTTTCGGCTCTTTCTAGTTCTAGCGCAGCTCTCTGCCCGAAACCCTGTGTGGGGCCAGGAAAAGGGAGAGAGGAATGCAAGTCTGCTGATGGCTGCTCCAGGCTTGGAGGAAGGTCGGGACAGAGGGAGGGGAGGATTTAATGAAGGGAACGGGGGTGGGGTGGGGGTGGGGGTGGGGGAGGCAGACAGCCTGGCCCCTCAGCTCTTTGGGAAGACTCACAGGCTGCTCTGGAAAACACAGGATGTGGGCATGCAGGCGGGGAGAACGGGTTTAGACATCCCCCCCAACCCCACCCCCAACCGCCCACACACACACACACACACACACACACACACACACACACACACACAATTCCATTCTCTCCATTCCTCTCTTAACCCTTTCCTGCCTCTCTCCTCCACTACTGTTAGGGCGTTCTGCTTATAAGGAACCTGTGTCACAGTCGGCTTTCAGCAGTAACCTGATTTCTTGAATGTCAAGTAAACAAGAAAACACAGTTTCGGTAATCAGGGTAAAGCATTTACGAGAAATCCAGTTTACACAGATACATTTCTGTTTGCAGTTTCTTGCCCATGTACTGCTTAACCGGGTTTCTAACGGGGCTCTTATTTGAATATGTGCATTTCAAAGCCTTCATAGGGAAAATATGACTGGGACAGCAGTGCTGAGTGAGCTATGCCTCTTTGTATACCAAATAGTTGAGCAGTTTTAACTTAAAACTAAAATAAAGTCCAATCCGTCCAAAGGCTCTAACTAGGACAAAAAGAAAGACCTTACAGCCTCAGCGACACAGAATATTATGTTATTCTTTACTTTAGATATTTCTATGGTGTAAACTAGACTTAAGGCCAATTTATACTGTCTGCCTCCGCATGTGTGCGAGGTTCCACTTAACGTAACGTAAAGTAACGTAAATGTCGTCATCCGCCCATGTCGCATGGAACGTTCGCATGCAGCCAAAATTTGTGATATCAAAAACTAACTGCGCATGCTCCCCAGCTGAACGGAGGCCAGCAGTGGCAACAAGCTAGAGAGTGAATGGAGAGAGGGAGCGCCGAGAACTAAGCAGTGAATCAGAGAAATAAAACATTATTTTCTGATTATTATGTTCGAAAGGACACAACAACACAACCACAACCCTGCAGAAGGTGCACATTCCTGGATTTTGAGCGAATACAGCTGAAGCTTCCGTGTCTGTTGTGTCTCTGTGCTGTAGGTAGCACAGCCCCACCCTCAGTAACAGAGACAGACCTGCACATCCATAACATCTCGCATTGCACTGTGCGCATACCTGCAATGCCAGATCAACATGCTGGTCTAGCCGAGCCTGAAGAGTCCACAGCCACCCTAGCTTCTTCACAGGACTGCTTTGAGCTAAATGGTCACATCAGCATGCTAACATGTTGATGTTTAGCAGATAATAGTTTACCATGGTTGCCATCTTGTTTAGTTGGTTTGCATGATAATATTTTCTAATTAGCACAAAACACAAAGTACAGCTGAGGCTGATGGGAATGTCATTAGTTCTGCAGGTGTTTGGCCATAAACTAAAGTAAAAGCTAAAGGGTACATTTATCTTGAGGTGGTGCTGAAGGAAATGTAAGAGGATCCCCAAAGTTAGTCATTATTTAGGTAAATCTTCTTGGTGAAATGAATAGCTGTACCCAATTCCAATTCCATCCAAAAGTAGACATTTAGACAATTTACCCAAAAATTCCAACATTACTGCGGCATTAGAGGAAAAGTTAGTAGTATTCATGAATGAATTGTTGAGATATTTCAAAGTTGTGGACTGACCGACTCACCGAGAAACTGCAACCCCTAGACCTAGAGTTTTGTTCAGCCATTCATGGCGCCAAGAGTATGAATTCTAAGTGACTTTGTTGATCCTCTGACTTTGCCTCTACCACCACCATAAGGTTGACATTTATGTTTTTTAGTGAAATGACTCAACAGCTATTGGTGCCGTCTTTCATGCCCCCTATAGGAGGAACTGTAAATAATCTGGTGATCCTCTAACTTTTCATGTAGCGCCACCATCAGGTCAGTATTGTAATTTGTTCAATACTTGTGGTTAGTGCTAATAGCAAATGTTAGTATGCTAACACACCAAGTAAAACAGTAAGCATGGTAAACATGATATATCTTCTAAACATCACCTTCTCTTTGCATTGTTACTGCGAGCTAGTTAGCATGCTGACATTAGCATTAAGCTCAAAGCACGTGGTCATTCCCATGTTCCCAGGCTCCTATGTTTCCCAGAATTATATGTCACGATCAGTGTTTATTTGAAGTAAACTTCAGTACTTTAGCGTGAATTTCAACTTTGGTGACCATTAGCACGAAAGTTCACCCAACAAAACATATCTACAGTGCTGACCTTAGAGGGAACCAAGAGCACTGGAGAGTCCAAACTAGATGAATTATACATGTATCACACCACAGACCCTGCTCTGCTGGAGAATCCACAAAGAAATACAGCATGGTTTGCAGTCTTACAAAGAGTAAGGGTAAGGGTAGATAGTACAACTACATTCCCTTGAATTAACTGTGGTAACGTACTATCTCATTAGCAAAGCAGACCTCAAACTTTCACAAAGACTTCTACCATTGATTTTGTTTTTACGCAGTTCAGATTTTGCGGTTTTCGATGAAAGTTGTAATTTATGTTCCTTCAAGTTTTTAGTTTTGGGTCAGCCGAGATTACAAGAAATAATGATGCATGGACTCATTCTGCACCAAACTATGTATCAATCTGATGAATCACTGAAGAACTGGACCAATCAGCGACAGTGAGAGAGAATGAAGCAGGCGTACCTCGGCCTTGTACATTCTGATCAGGCCCTGGTTGACTTTGGACCAGGAAGGAACGGCGCTGATGTTCCACAGCTGGTTGGAGTGTTCAGCAAACGGGCCCGTCTTCATCTACAGAGCAGGGAAGGAGTGACACAGTTAGAAACGTCGGGTATAACTGTAAACTGTAAAGTATAAGACTTGAACTTAATGACAAAGTTACAAAGGAAAACTCAAATTAGTACTACTGCATCACAATCTTTTAGTCCTCCTGAAATCATAAGTAAAGTGATACATCCAAAATCAGTGTTTAGAGAATCAAAGACTCCCTCTGTAGGCTGGAAAAATGGCTTTACAAAGTTTCAGGTTTCTTCAGGGATGAAGTTTTGGTCAGCCTGAGTTGAGTCAGTTAGAATGGATTCCAATGACGACCCATTTTCAAGGCAGAAAAGCCATATTTTGGCAAAACTATGAGTTTTTGGAACACAGAGAGCTTATTCATAGACAGTGGAGAGGTTTTACACTGTGGAAAATGGGTCACCCGTAGAATCTATTGTAAATAACTGCACTCACGCTGACAGAAGCTGCTTTTCTCAATCAACAAACTTTTTAAGACAAACTTCTTCTATCATCTTTAAAATCACATTTTTATAACATTTGGGTTTTTGTAGATTAAAAAAAAAGAACTACTGGTTCAGAAAGGGAATGTGAGAAATGCAGTGATAGTGATAATAAAGGGAGTGTTCAGTTAATGTGTCCTGCACAGGAACAGATCCTACTATGAATAAAGGGTTAGGGTTAGAACATGCAGAACAGTAAGATCTTAAGCTAATAGCAGTAATGAATCCAAAGATAATATTATATAATCAATATTTTTTTAGTAATGGATCACATGACTACTTGTAATTAAAAGTGGTCACTTGTAAACCAAATAAAAATTATCACTTAACTCTGCAGTTCCCCTCAGCTCTACGGAGCTTTATAGCATCGCTCAGCTCATAGGTTTGGTTTTTTGGTTCGCAACTTTGTGTTGATCAATTCTCACCGCTTCTGTCATTTGCAGCCACAGCAGGCAGTGGTTTTTGGCAAAAAACTAAGAAAAGAACTTTAAGGGTGATAATGTGTTGTGGTCATGGCTCAATCCCACTGCATGAAAGTGGACAAAAAAAAAAGTGTGTAGGATTTGGTGGCATCTAGTGGTGTAGTTGCTTACTGCAACACCCTCACCCTCACCCTCACCCTCACCTCACCTCACCTCACCCTCCCGTTCCAAGCATATAGGAGGAACTACAATAGCCGCAAAAAACATTAAGGCCCTATCTAGAACCAGTGTTTGGTTTGTCTGTTCTGGGCTACTGTAGAAACATGGCAGTTCAACTCTCTGTTGAAGAGGACCCTCTCCCTCTGTAGATCAAAGCTCATCGTAAGGTAATGAAAACACAATGTTTCTTATATTCAGGTGATTATACACTAATGAAACCATACCTATGAATATTATATTCCATTTCTGACAATAGATCCCCCTCAATGTTACACACTGGACCTTTACTGCAACTATTATTTTTTTGGCCATGTTGAGGCAACAGAAAAAGCTGTAAATGTAACATTGTGGGTGAAGTCACAGACCTTAAAACCAAAACAATGAGCTGAAGGAAGCTAAACATCTCTGCTGGCAGGAACTGTTTTAACCTTTATTCAGGGAAGGTTCACTGACAGGTGAAAACCTGGAAGCTGCCTAGTACAAGCACAATCTGATCTGCTGGCCACTGAGCAGCTTCACTGCAGCAGTTGCTCAAGGGCAACTCAATGGTGGTAATGAGGGAGGGGCAAGTGCTGCCTCTTTACTTTCCCCACCCAGACTTATCCTGCCGGTTCCGAGGGGTTGAACTGATGATGTTCCGGTTACAAGCTCGCTTCTCTAACCTTAACTGCCTGTGTGGTGGAAAAATAAATTAGGGTCACCATGGACAGTAAATGAATCACAGGATAGGGCCAGGTTTACATTAATGCGTTATTTATGTGTACCGGCTGAGACTAATGTGACCCCCTCTGTCCACCGTACCCATCGTGATGTGAGTCAATTAAATCAAAGCAGCTATTTGTGGCTTTCCATTCAATGCAGAACATAAGAAATGTGTAATTAACATCTATGTTACATATTAGAGATATGGTGACACATTCCTGGTGTTAAGTCACAAAAAAAAAACATGAAGACAAAAGGAAAATTCACAAGGGTTGGCTTTTTTTGTGAGCGGTGGCATCTGAACAATGCAGGACCCCTGAGATCCTGGCTAAAATATTAAACTCAAAAAGATTCAGAATGACTCAAAGCTTGAGGTCATGATGCAGTTTTATGGCTGGTAAAAATATTTTTTTACCATATTTTATATTTTTGACTTTATTTCGATCCAGGTATTGAAAGCCAGGTGTAGGAAATGTTTTGGAAGGACGATATTAATGCCAGGAAAATAGAGTAGAAATTGGCTCACAAACTTAACCAACCAAACCATTGGTTCTAGATTTGAGACAGAATTTGTAAAAAAGATATAATGTATGTAATCGGACTGTGGAGTTTATTGATGCTGCTGGCTGGCTAATCGATGGCTGTAACTTAAAAACTGCACTCACCAGCACCCAGCAGTGCCATCAGTGTTGATGCATGGAAATGCCACTGAACTGTGGAAATGATCCTATGAGCAACCTGGATATGTAGCCTCTAATGCTGTGGCGGTATGGCTGTTTCTGCTTTTAAAGTTTGTTGTAGCTCTTTTTTTAAAAACATTTTTTGAGTGGTTCTAAAGTTCAGTGTTTCCCAAACTCCCACGAGGGACCCCTTTTCTATCATTAACTGATGACATATTTTATACAACAGTACAGAACAAACCCAACCCAAATAGAGAATGCAATAACTGAGTAAAACGAGTGATTTGGATGAATTTTGAGCAGATTATTTCCTGTGTGCATCAGAGATGAGCTTTGCTGATATTTTTAACAACTTTTTACACAATTGTCTGTCTGTATTGTGTTTTTTAAATTGTTTTATTAACAATCACATCTTCTTCTTTGTTGGCAAATTCAGTGTTTTCTTCTTATTTAAGCCTTGGTCATTGGTCTATTAGCTGTATGGACGAGGCTGTTAAGTAAAAGTTCAAAGTTTAGATCTTAAATAATAATCGAAACTTCAAAAATAACAGCTTCATTTAGTTTTCTTCACAGAAATAAACAAAATCCTAAAGGCCCACAGTGTCTATTAAGTTTTCTTACACAACTTAAAATTAAGATGGCCTTGTGACCCCCTGTAAAGCTTTGGCGACCCCCAGGTTGGACCACTGCTGAAGACAATATGCATAAAATGAGGGTGAAAGAAAAATTCTGAAGATTGAGCGCCAAATGACTATTTTTCCCAATCACCCATGAAAATGTGCCAAAAAAAGCGACTGATTACATTGCTTTCTTATTACATTGATTACTCTGCTCTCAGCAATATAATCAATGTAGTAATAAGAACATGCAGAACAAAAGGCTGATTGTTGTTCCAGCAATCACCCAAATAACATTAATAAATTCTGGAATCAGCAATGAGTGTGCTCGCTTACAGGCAGACAACAAATAGTAAGAACACACAGAAGAACAATGGGCAGACAGTCACTGCAATAACTAAGACTGACAAAAACAAATGTATGAATTCATAAATGTATGAATGAAGTGAGGACTGTGGACTGTTTTCCCACCATTTTGTCCCAAGAGGGAGAGGAACCCGAACCCAGACCCTGGGGCATCAATCTAACAACCCCCTCCTTTTTCCATCCCCCCGCTCACCCCCTCCTCACATTGCTCTAGACACTTTCCAGGGCCTCGCATGAGAACACATGGGGGAAGGGCATGGAAGAGGGAGGAAAGGGGGGGGGGATGGAGACAGCCCGTATTCCCTGGAGGAAGGAGTGATTCACAGCAGCATGTGGGGAAGGAAGTGACTCATGTTTAGGACGACGCACACACACACACACGGGCGCACGCACGCGCACACACACACACACACACACACACACACACACACAGACACAGACACACACACGAGCCTTGTGTGTGAATTAAAAAAAGAACATGAGTTTGATGTGTCCACATGTGTGTGAATAGGAGGGAAATACTTGGGTATACATATGGAGCGTTGCATGCTTACAGGCCCGTCTGAGCGACAGTAAACAAAAGAGGGAAAACAAGCCAGCAGTCAGGACTGAATGAAGCGGGTAATAGATCCAACAACACCTCAGTGTGTTATCAACTTTAATCTGTATCACTTACCCTCAGTTCAAGCCACAGTTGGGTTGATTTTACCAGTGAGAGTTAACCGGTTAATTATTAAGCTTCAGTATTGTTGCTATGGTTACAGGTAAATAAACCTTGAGTTATTTACTTAAGTTAGAAGGTTACCATGTTGACTCCAACTACCTTTAATAAGTTCCCATTTTTTAATGGACACCTAGCCAAAAATAAATATACCTGAATATGCAATACTTGTTCTATGATAAAGTAATTTGTTTAGATTATTTTCAATCTAATGGGATATTTTTCAAATGGGATTTTGCTTCATTTTGGTGAACTTTGACCTGCAAATTTAAGGTCGTTGACAGATAGCGAGCAGTCCTGACAGCGCTGACCTTTGAGATAACCAGTCTAAAATGGAGGAAGCAACTGTAGCGCATTAGCTGTGTTCTACCATCCACTTTTATCTATCATCCTCTTTAAGAGTATAAACTGCTCCACACAACAGGAATGGTTTGCAGACAGCTATGAGAGAGGAGTTGAAGTTATTGTCCTGTTAATGACCAAGCTAACGAGTTTGCTAACGGTTCAGAGAAACCGAAAAGTACAGAGAAAATAGCGAGTTAGCAGTTAGCTTGCTAGCTACAGGAGTTCACCAACTAGCCCTGTGAGTATAGTCAAGGCATCAAAAAGCTTCTAGAACCAAGACGTGCTTACATCAATTACTATTTCTGGCTGCAGCTTCTCCAATTAGAGGATGTGCTGCTTTTGTCTGTTTTATACCTTTGGGTTTGCAGTTGGTCTCTCAAAACAAGACATTTGAAGAGGTCACCTCTGGCTCTGAAAAACTAAACAACAAATCAAGAAAGTAATCGAATAAAGATCAATCGTTAGTTGTAGCCCTTCTGTTTTCTGTCCGGCTTTCTCTCCATCTTGTTTCTGTAAACTTAAAAGGTCCTGTGTGAAGGATTTAGTGGCATCTAGTGGTGTAGTTGCAGACTGCAACTCCCTCGAATTACTCTCGCGTTCCAAGCTTGTAGGAGAAACTACGCTGGCTGCGAAACATGCAAATAAAAAAAAACAACTATTCTTATATTCAGGTGGTTATACACAAATGAAAACATACCTATGGATATTATCTTCCATTTCTGACAATAGATCCTCTATAAACGTTACATACTGGACCTTTAAATGAAATGTAGGTTTGCGTGTTCTTGCGAGAAGTATTGTGGCCTTTCCATCCTGAAGAAGTCTAAGGGCCTGTCCACACGAATACGTTTTTTTCGAATCCGGATAAATACTTTATCGTATCGGCCTTGCGTCCAGACGGATACGCCGTTCTCGGGGTGTGAAAACGGTATTTTTTTGGAAACGGGTCCCAGAGTGGGAAAATCCAAAAACGCCAAATTGCCCGGAGTTGTCTGGACGGCGAAAACGTATTAGCCCCGCCTCTCTAGCCTTTAACCTCAGCCTCCGCCATAACAACAACAACGGCGGACTACTACTACTTGTTTCTAAACAGCGCATGCTCCATGGCTTCTCTTCTGGTTTTAGTGTATTGGTGTGGCGGCGTCACAGTGCCACATACAGGCCTGGCATATGTACTACAGCGTTTTGGGTCGTTTCAGTGAATCCGTGTGGACGCAGATATTTCTGGAAACGACGCTGTGTTTACGGAGAATTTTTTCGAAACGACATCGTATTGGGTGAGGCCGCGTATTCATGAGGACAGGCCCTTAGACAGCAGCAGGGCACACAGGCCCAGCCAGGAAATTGTCCCCTGAAACTGGTCAATAGACTGGTGTTGGACCATAGATTTGATTCACAAACACCTTTAACTTGTGTGGACACTATAAGAGAACAAAGTCACTAAAAAAGGAGGAACGGACGATAGAGGAACGGACGATAGAGGCCCTTCTTGACACAACAGCATCATCCTTTCATGACCGTGAGGAGGAGGGAGAGGTCAAGCAGCAGGAGGAGGAGGAAAAAGAGGGAAGGAGGTGGTGCTTCTGAGTGGGAAGGAGGAAAAGGATGTAGCTGCTCCACCAACGCCCTCCTCTACTTCCCTCCCCTCCTTTTCCTCCAAAAACCAAAAACAAAGCTCACGGTTCCTGCTCTGGCGCTCTACCAACAGAATCCATCTGCCCCCCCCCGTCTTCCTTTTCCTGGACAAAACCCCTTTCAGCTGTGGTCCAGTTTAATTCCAACAGCTAAATCAGTACAACGTCTATACAAGTACACATTGTACTGTATATACAGATTGAATATATATTAATATGTACTTATTTCAAACATCCTATGGGCAAGTAAAGGGACGTTTTGATTGGTTGCAACAAATGGTCCATTTAACTACTTTACGTTATAGACAGCAGAAGCTATGTGAAGCATTCAAACTTTGAAACCAAAAAAGTGAAAACCATAAACATACAAATAAACTGTTTGAACTCATAAGATTAAAAGTTGATATTAGGAAACATCTAAACGTAGATTTTGCAAATTAGAGTAATTGGACATTTTATATACTTCATATACTTTATATACTGATCATTCAAAACAGTTCTGTCTATTTTTATTTACAGACAAAGGAAAATATTAGTTTTCAATTTGGTTTTTATGTCTGTAGGGCTATAAAAGGTCCAGTGTGGAACACTGAGGAGGATCTATTGTCAGAAATGGAATATAATATTCAGAGGTAAGTTTTCATCAGTGTATAATCACCTGAATATAGGAATTGTTGTGTTTTTGTTACCTTACAAGTTTCACACATTTCATTGTTTCGGTTATGCGGGCCACAACTTTACTGTTTTGGTTCTTTCTGGTCTTTCTGCTCTCATAGTATGGTTTCCTCCTGATGGATCCTCCTAAATGTTACACACTGGACCTTTAAAGTACTCTACTTTAAGGTGTTTGTTATTTTGTCCATATAATGCCACTATAGTATGGACTCAAACTCACCATAAAGAAAAAAAAAAGATTGCACAATTAAAGTAAATTTTTGAGCAAACAACAAACTTTAAAAATAAACAAACTGTGAGGAGTGTGTTTCTCTCTCCCACCTCATTTATGAACTTGATGCAATCCAGGAACATGTAGTCTTGGTGATGCTCGTTCACCACCCTCTCATCGATAAAGTGCCGGGGCTCCAGTGTTGGGTGATCTGAAGGGAGAATGAGCTGTAAGTGCACACTTTCACCACCAGGTGTCACCATTTACCTTTACATTAAGCTCCGAGCTCTGAAGAGGCACAGGGATGTGTACATTTATCAATGTCATGTGGGCTCCCTCTCAAATGTGAACTTTTCCCCTCTAACAGGATGAACACAACTACAGCACTGACCTTTAATTAGCATATAGAGGCGTCTTTTAGTTCTCAATGAGTTGTCTTTCTTACAAGTGACAGTAGGAAAAGCACAGGTGTAAATAATAAAATGAATAATGGCTGAAATTAATTTAGCTGCTTCAGTTTCAGGGTCCTGGTGTTGCTCATGCTGACTGACTGTCAAGGCTTACTGGGACACTTGTTAAAAAGGTGCAATAAGAGATTCTGGGAGTCTCTCGTCACAGATTTTCTACAACCTGCAAACAGAGCCAAGAGGAGGTGCAGAAGTTTACTTTTCTCTAACTAGAATTACAATATGCCGTAGGGTTTTGTCGTAATGATGCAAAAAATAAACTGCCTCCCACAGCTTTAAGGTTATGACCAGGCCCAAATGGGCCTCTTTTTTGGGGGTGATCCAGAATTAAACTGCAGTAGGTAACGTTTACCAAAAAAATTCATAATTTGTGATAGTGAAAGTTTAAGAATATATGACAAAATTTATTTTTAAAAAAATTACCAACTGCAGCTTTAAAATCAGCAGATTTTGGCAGAATGTTTTTGTACTTGTGATGTGATAGCCATGAATGTGAATGAGAATGTGACGCTAATGTAGTCCAACTCTGTGGTGCTTTCATGCCTAACCTGTTTGGTGGAGTTAACCTGAACTCATCATCAATCATTCAGGTTGGCGTGAGAGCTGTCAATCAAACTCTGGTGCAGACCAACCACAGGATTTTATGAGGTTTGTGATTTTAGCATAAATTCAAAAGCTAAATTACTATAAAATCCACCTGTGAACGACTGAGGAGGCCGTATCCTGATGTGTAAGCTGTAAGTAATGTATAGCCTATATTTATGCAAGATCATTTGGTAACCATGGTAACACATCTGTGCGTCACCACATGTGTGGGTGCGGTGATTTTCCCTGATCAGAAAGTGAGTTAAATCAGAAGTGCACTGTGCTTGCATCTGTTAAAAAGTGATCGAGTGTCTATCCCTGTAATATTATGGTACAAAATGCTTCTTTCTTGTCCCGTTTCTGCCTGCTGGTTACTATTTATATATGATAATGATACATGGTCTCCAGTTGCAGTCTGGATTACTAATGCTCCTAATCATGATGAGTTATTCCTTTGTGACAGCAGAGAAGATAAGCAAACACATCAGGCTCAGTAATGTGCTGCATGATCAGATTTTCCCCTTGTGTGCTGATGATGCAGGATGACATCACCAAAAACAGCCTAATCAATGAGATAACTGTTAGTCCATATGACTTCATATTTACTCCCTGGTTTGCTTGTAAGAAGTTAGTGTGAATGCAAAATGGACCAGAAATAAAATGGAAACAATACATATTTTTTTATTGGTCCAAATGAACCGGACTACAGGTGTGAAACTGACCGTAGAGAGTCATCATAGTAGCAATAGTTTTGCATTTGTTCAAACTTGACTTTCTGAAAATGGGACTGGCTAAATCGTTTCAGTAGAAAAAGATTATCCACCCTTGCCGGCCTTAACTGTCACCTGTTGTAGCTTGTTAAAACACTGTTAATTATGTCAGTTATAATTAAAACCGTGGCTCTTGTGGTTAGAAGATTGCACTCTTACAAATCAAGGTATAAAATAGATATAAAAACAATGAATCATTCTGTCCTTAAACGTGGACACAGAGAAGTCTTTGATTGGACTGGTTTCCACCAACATGTTGCACACAGCTGCTCACCATTTTGTTCCCCATTCTGACAGAGTAACATGAACATCACTACATGTCCCAATGATCAGCACGGTCATGCTTGTTACCTTCACCAAGGTAAGGTAAGGTATGTTTTCTATGCCATTTGTTTATATGTCTGTTAGGGATGCACCGATCCACATTTTTTCACTTCCGATCCGATCCCGATACCTGAATTTGGATATCGGCCGATACCGATACTATTCCGATACCAGAGCTGTGTTTGCTTTAATATTATTATTATCATTATTGTTGATTTTATATGAGGCTGAAATAAACTCCTCTCAACAGGCAAGTATGATATGTACGTATGTATGCATGTATGTCCCAGAAGGCAACTTGAGGTAAGTATAAGGTCAGAAAAGGAAGTCAGAAAAACAGGAAATCCTGTTAACAGGAAAAATCCCATCCTGAAAACAAATATGCAACTGTAAGGGTTTCAAATTTATTGTCATGTCAATATTTATTAAATTCTCAAAATGTCAAATAATTGAAATATAAGAAAAGTGCAATAAGTGTAAACATCTTACACACACACACACACACACACACTAAAATCCCTTTAGCTTTCACGTTGTCTGCCTGGAGTTTTCCTTGTTTTTGGAATGACCATAGAAGTGATTCCTGACAGCTCCTTTTGTCTTTCTGCCCCCTGCTCTTCTTCTTCTTCATATGGATTTCTGGCAGTTTAAATGCTTCTAGGCGTATTACTGCCCTCCTCAGGAAGTCACTCTAAGGATAATGTTACTGCTTCAAATGTTCATATATAGCCCTGTATCGTGTAAGAACTGTAATACCACTTTAACAATCAAGTGGTGGTTCTCATTTAGACCCAATAATCCTCGTGCTCTTTGGTGTGGTGCTTTTTTAAATGTTTGATTGTGTTCGTAGTGTTGTACGACGCGAGGGAGCTTCCATCTCTCTGAATCACTTTGCTAGCTGGCTGCAAACTGCGGAATGGATTTCCTGAGCGGGGGCGTGTCTCATAACTCTGTGTCTTATTGAGCCGCGCCTCCGTTCAGGAAATACATTCCGCAGTTTGCAGCCAGCTAGCAGACTGGCCGGCAGGAATCACTTGTGGAGTCATTTCAGCAGACAACGTTAAAGCGCAGACATGGCTCATGGATATCGGATATATCGGCAGGTTGGATCGGAAACATCCGATACGTGAATTACGCTGGTATCGGTCTCGATACCGATACTGGATCGGATCGGCCACATCCCTGATGTCTGTCATGAAACATGGTGGAAAGGTGTAGCACAGGCTATGAGCGGATCCAAATCACACGGCGAATTCACTAATTATTTTTTACTTTCACTAACACTGTGAGTCAGTTGTTATACAGAGTTAAATAGTGGTGGCTGTCTTTGTATATGACTGTACTGCTGGCCTTGGTGGAGGTCTGTGCTCTCAGGGTGGCCTTCTAGTTCTTTACAGTTTTTACAAAAGTGCTGTACCCGGGTTCTTACCTACAAACTGGGAGCTTCCCCAGATGAAGGGCAGAAACTGGAAGTCATCCAGTCCCCACACACCTTGGCTTCCAGCTGGCTCCATTCTGTAGGTCCTCTGCAGCTTCCGCATCACTGAGAGATACCTACAAAACACACACACACACACACACACACACACACACACAAGAAATTACATTGTCTGTAAAATGTGCAAAAAACGCCCCTATCTAGAACCACTGTTTTGGATTGTCTGTTCAGGGCTACTGTAGAACATGGGGGATCAGTTTGAAGCACTGTGCAAACTATGCCATATTCGGGGGAGCGCACCTTTTCTACTGTCCTGGGGGGATATTTTTGGGGGATTTTCTGATCTGAAGTTAATGATATTGGGCTATCATGCTTCAGTGGTGATGGCAATAATAGCAGTATGTTTTTTAAATTGAATTAGTGATGAGTCATCCTCATGCACAAATCATACATCAACAGTAGCCTTAATGCATAATGCATGATTGATCCAGTACTGCTTAATATGAAGCAGACCACAGCAGCAGAAACAGCTCACCTGTTAAAAACCTTAAAGACGATAGCCAGCTGATCGTCTACCCTGAGAGCTCCAACCTTACAGAGACAGCAGAGGAACACAGCAAAAGCAGCTTCGTGACCTGAGGAGATATAACACACACAGGTTAAAGGTCTTCATCAACATGTGCAGACCTTTAATCTCCACTTCAATTCATCACCGAGTGCTCCTTTCTGGACTTCTACTTCTGCTTTTAATTATTACTTTTAAACTTACTACTGCTACTGTGTTACATTTAGTTTATACAGTACTGATACTATTACTACTTTAACTTGTGCTTTATTCAGTGCTTTGTTAACAGGATGTTTGGCCTCCTCTGTTAAAGCTCCAGCAAATTGGTTTTGATACCTTGACTCCTTGCAATGACTTCTGCCACACATCATTACAACCTAGTGTATTTACAAGACATACGCATATACATATTGTAAAACATTACATTTTAAAACATTTTTAATCTGTCTTTAAAGCTGAGCGTTCAATGTCTTCTTACTTGTTTTATGTCATTCTATGTAGCTTTCTGGGAAATGAGTCTTATTTTTTGTCCAAAAAGAAAAAATATTTTATCCCAGCAAGAGAACTTTCCTTATGTTAAGAGTAACTTCTCAAATTAAGGATCGTTCTTCTGTTTGTAGCTGAAGAGTAAAAACCAAGCCAGAAACCTCTGTTATCTTGGATTCTGACCTAAATTTTAGCAGTCACATTAAACTAAGATTAAAATCACTAACAAAAATCAGCTTTCTACCACCTTGACAAGGATCAGAGACTTGATGTCACAGTGTGATCTGGAGAAATTAGTACATGCATTTATCTCTAGTGTGCTGAACTCTTCACAGGTCTGTCTAAGACAGCAATCAGACAGCTGCAGCGGATGCAGAATGCTGCTGCCAGGGTTGTGACAGCGCATCATATAACTCCAGTTCTCAGATCGCTACACTGCCTGTCCATAAGTGTCTGTATGGTGTAGGTCCAAGATATTTATCAGATCTCCTCTCCTGACCCAGTACGAACCTTGCAGACCTCTGAGGTCGGCTGGTTCTGGATCACTGGCTGTTTCCAGAGTTCAAACTAAGTGGGGAGAAGCTGCCTTCAGTGCCAGAAGAACTAAGACTTGTAACAATGCTGACTACTCTCAAATCCAAGCTAAAGACCTATCTGTTTACTGTAGCTTCTAATTAATGGCATATTTGTTGTTGTTTCACCGTTTGTCTGCCTGTTTTTATCATTTGTTTTGTTTGTGCTTTTGCTTGTGACCTCTGTAAAGCACTTTGGGTTGCCTTGGGTTTGAAATGCTATATAAATACATTTGCCTTGCCTTGCTTTGCCGACCTTAATTTAAGACAAAGTCACTTATTTTTATTATGCTGTTTGAAGAAATTGTTAGATTTTTAATCTAAGAAAATAAAAAATAAAAAACATTCTTAAATCCAACCGAGAGAAGAATATTTGGCTTTTTTCTAGAAAGGCTGTTTCTGCATTGTGTAGGACCAAAGCTCTGAATCAAGCATATGTTTTTCACAGTAATAGAGTTGCAGTGCATCACAGCGCCTCTCAGTGGCCAAAGATATGCTATTGTCTGTGCTTTGTATATCTGCAGTCTGATTGGCCTGCAGAACGGAGATTGGGGTTAGGCAATATATCAAAAATGTTTTTTTATGTTTAGACAAATCCTGAAATGTTTAGTTTAAAGGGTTGTTCGACCAAAATTACCAACATTGTCTCACTCATCTCCAGAGGTTATGTGGCCTATAAGTTTCTGGTGCTCAAAGCATTGAATTTATTTTTTATTTTTTTAAATTCAACAGCAAAGTCTTTCCAGTGGGATGGAGGCAGAAATCTCAGGGTAAGAAAGAAAGAAAAGCTAGGTAACACCTATGCTAACTGAGACAATTTAACATTAAATCATAATCATCATCATCATCATCATCATCATCATCATCAGGCAGTTTGTTCCAGAGGGTGGGGCCCATAATGATTGAATAGACCTTTAGCAGATTTACTTCTGATCCTGGGCTCGGTTAGGAGACGCAGTGAACAGGTCAAATATGCATTTAGGAGCTCCACCTTTAAGTGATTTGTAAATCATGAGCAGTATTTTAAATCTAATTTTGTATTTTATTGTTTCATAGACAGCTAGATCAGTCTGGAGTGGGTCTCCTGTTTCTGACCTCCACCGCCTACCACAAGAATCTCAGTCCTGTTTTGGGCCATCCAGTGTCTAAAGGTATGATGTAGTTTAAAGTTAGGATGAGAATGTGGCAGGCTCCTCCAATGTAACAGTTAAATTCAACACAATATGCTAATTTTTTGCTTTCTTTTTTAAAACATTTTTAAGGATTGCCTCCAGATATGTATTAAGACATAAATAAAGTCTGCTTGGAACAATAATGTGTCCACAAATAAAGTATAACTTCCACAATAAAGCTGCAGTAGGTAACTTTTATAAAAATAACTTTTTGTCATATTCACTGAAACTTTCTCTATACCCTGACAGTAGAACATGAGACAGATAATCTGTGAAACAATCAGGTTCCTCTGGCTCCTCCTAGTGCTCCTAATGGCATTTACAAGAATCAACCGGGCATGAACGAAAACAACCAATCAGAGTGGAGAAAAATAGAAAGACGCTTTGCGTTGGTGAATTGCAGATAGTTGATTGCAGGGTCTCATTCCAAGTGTTGGAATTTGACAACCTGGGAATGAGACTCAACACAACCATCTTTCTCGGCTTAAAATCAGATGTTCAATGAGCACAGAGAAACTTTCCACTTTCAGCAGATGAATGTGAAAACATCCTTCTAGTGTCACACTCTGCTCAAACAGCATTCAAACAGCACACTGTAGGGACAAGAAGAAACACTGATTTTTCATTATGGAGGAATGACAGGAAACAAAGAGGACCAGAGGCAGGGAAGATCGCCTTGGTCACCAAGACTTATAGTGTTTGTCCACAGCAAAAAAACAAAAAAACACACAGCACTACTACCTGTTCCATAGTCTATCCTGGTGGAATTCCCCACAGACTCTTTCAGATAGACAGCTATCTCTGGAGCAGCAGCACATTTGTCAGCAGGGAGCACTGCTAACACCAAGGCCTCTGCTTCCTACACACACACACACACACACACACACACACACACACACACACACACACACACACACACACACACACACACACACACACACACACACACACACACAGAAATGGAATATAATCTTCATAGGTATGTTTTCATCAGTGTATAATCACCTGAATATATAATAACTTGTGTTTTCGTTACCCTAGAATGAGCAGTTTTTATCTTCAGACAGGGCGAGTCACCTTCTGTAAAGGCCGCCATGTTTCTACTGTAGACAAACCAAACACTGGCTCTAGATAGGGGCATTTCACAGCCACTGTAGTTTCTCCCTCACGTTTGGGGGGACGGTGAAGCAAGTGAGCTGCAATCTGCAACTATTGATAGATCCTACACACTGGACCTTGCAGATGATGGGTAAAGCTACTGCTGACACTAGCTACAGAGCTATGTTGTTTGGCAGGCTGGTTTTGTTTTGAGAGACAAAAAAACAGAGCCACACACAGGTGAAGTGGTTGGGTTAGAAACGTGAAATTACATTCAGCCATTTCCATCTGCCGTGTGGACACACGGAGATTGGTTTGGGTATTGTTTAAACTATCATTTTAAAATGGTACCAATGCCAAAATTGTGCCTGAACTGATACTTTACTACATCACAAACTGTAGGAAAGGCTGCTGCTGTCGTCATCAATGGTCTCCACATTGCCAGGGCCAGTGTGTTTGTCATGGGGTCACGCAATCAGCCGAACACTATGCATCTGTCTGCTTTCAACTGTACATTGTACAACTGTACCACTGCTTTAAGGTTGATACATTACAACATGAATACATTTACCTAAAAACTTTATAAAAACCAGGATCATCTTTATCAGTACCACACAGAGAGGTTTACAGATTTTACGTTTTGGAACATGTACAAACACTGGTATCAGATTATCTGTCTGAGCTCTTGGATGTGTGTGTGTGTGTGTGTGTGTGTGTGTGTGTGTGTGTGTGTGTGTGTGTGTGTGTGTACGCACTAACCTGGTCTAGTTTGCTGTACCAGGTCCTGTAGGCCTTATTACCAAAGCGTGACGGCTGGTCAGCCGGAGGGGTCTCATTTATCCATCGGTCCAGAGTCCCCAGAAGATCTAGTAACTTCTCCACCGTCTGTCACACAACAAGACAACAGTGACTTTAGCAACACTGTAACGGATATTTATCACATCACATAATGGGTTTAATGAACATAAAGACAATTAAAGAGCCAAACAATAAACTAGCATATTTAGCTCAGGGGAGGCTCACTCTGCTGAGCCTCATCTGGTTAAACCTCATCACTTTGCCTTTCAATTCAGCAGAATTTGGTGTATATTCCTATCTTCTATGGTATACACACTGTGTGATCAGCCATGATTATATTGTATGTGAGTGCTTGCAGAATAACCCTGCAGGCGACACGACCCCTGACCATGTCTGAGCTGGCTTACAGTACGTCACCAGTTTTCCCCGTCCACACTACAACATCAGAGCTGCAATTCGCTCTGCTGCTCTCTCTTTCTTAAGACACACCTTCAAGCAGGTAGTCCTGTTATAATGGAGATTAGGGGTGTCACAAGGTACCGGGTCAATGCCAAAATCCTGACAACGTGACGGTACTTGTTTTTCTATAGTAGTGTAGCTACCAGTGACACAGTTCTTCCGGACCTGATGGGGGCAGTGTATACGCCATACACAGAGGACTCATCTGTAATGAGAACTGTTTTTGTGTTGATATCAAATCAAACTGAGTCTCAAAATGACCACAAAACTATAACTGTAACAGAAATGGAGGGCAGTGCGAGTCCAGTCTGCCTGCCCGGCAGGAGAGGGGCTTTGTGGTATGCTGGGATTTTATAACCGCACTATGAGCAGGATGCACAGACTGTCTGGAGATCTGATGTTTTCTCATCACAGATGACGAAGAGAGGCATTTCATTTTTTCCCCTAATTTCTTACTTGAAGGCTACATGGCACTGTTGTTGTTATATGTTGAAGTACATGTTATTAATGTTTTGTTTTTGGTTTTGACTGTGGTATCAAATTGGGTACAGAGATTTCAAATCCATGCTGATGTGCACAGTCAAACTGAGTTAAGCTAAGCCAGCACATATCAATGGGAAAGCCCTAATAGTCTGTTGGACTTCAATATTATATGGTTGATCTTGAGTAAAAATGTCTGTGCCCCTTAAAGCATGATGCCTCTGACTCTTTGAATAAAAACTGGAGTACTGTTGTCCTAGTCTCTCCTTTACCTCCAACAATAACAGTCCTTAGGATTGTAAGAAAACATCAGTACCACCTTTTAGAAGCCACTGACAATAAGACAACATACCTCTGACACTTTATATTCACATGTGAGCTTCTTTCCCTTCACGCCTTCATTCAGCGTCAGAATGAAGCCCATGTAGTCAGCATACGCCTGGAAGAAGGAGAGCTGTGTTGAAAGCTGGAATGTGTAGTCAGACAACCTGCTACAAATACTAAAAATCAATAATAGATATTAATAGGAATATTCATACAAAACTGATATTGATCACAATAAGGTAAATGTTACATTGTGATGGACTACAGACAGAACACTTTCACACATGCACTTCAAGAAAAACGTAATAACTTCAATCATTTTCCTGGCTTTTACTAAGACTTAGCTTGGAATAAATCTGAACAACCAGGGCTCGAAATTCTAATTTTCCTTCATTTCTCACAAAAGTCCTGCATTCTATTTTCATCTGTCCCTTTTTTTTTTAATTCTACATAATGAATACTGTTTAATAAATTTGTTTAAGCCACCATGGAAGTTTTGCTACTTGTTCCCTGCACTTCTATCTGAATAGATAATTGAAATCACCCTCTGTGTTTGGACCATCAACATATAAAAGATGGACGTTGCATCTCCACTTCCTCCCACTGTACAATGAAGACAAAATATCCCGGATATATGGCCCCTGCCTTCTTTCTCCAGAGTGTGCCCAGTAGTGATCATGGTTGGTGCCACAGTATCGAGGTCCCGCCCATACACCCTGCCAACTCAATCACCAGCACAGCTCAGCTGTCAATCATGACGTGAAACCCCCTTTTTATAGCTTCAAATGACTCATTAAAACCAAACTGATCAAAAAAATGAATTGAACATTGGCTTTAACAAACATCAGCGTGATAAGAACTACCTAAAATGACAGAAACCATCGTTGGGAAAAATTTATTTGACGTCTTCTTTTTTTAGTTTGTCGCATCTGCTAACATGGAGACAGAGGGCTTTATGACCTGTACTGCAGTCAGCCACCAGGGGGAGATCAAGATGTTTTGGCTTCACTTTTGGAGAGCTGTCATGTCGTCCATCTTTATTTATGTTAATGGTTTGGACTCGGTTTTCCTTTTTGTTTTATTCATTGGTTGAGTCGCTGTTTGTTTGTATCCAACTGTTCTGCAAACCGCAGAGCAAATGTAAACCTGTTCCTGACAGCAATGGAAATTTCCATGCACACACTTTGAACATTATTATTATTTAGACAAATAATTACACACTCACTACAGGGATGTCACATATATTAAGGAAAAAGGGAGGAAGATGATCAAACAAACTATTTAAATATCTACAAGCTCAAACTATCTATTTACACATAAGATAAGATACACGAACACCCTAATCCAAAGATCCGGAAAGAAAGAGTGAGAGAGAAGGTCAAACAAACTATTTACACATTTACAAGCTACAGGAAGACCATCACAGCTACTGACTGCCTGGGCACAGCACAAGAGGAGAGGGAGAGACCCTGGCGCTGTTGGCAGAACAGCCGTGCAGCATGCACAAATTACAATATAATATATTTAAATATATTTATTTTTCCTGACTGTCTGAATCAGTCGCTGAATTTGTCGCTTTTTAGGAATAAAGTCGTTAAGAGGGTCTATAGCTACCTAACCATTACTGCGGTGGGGAGTGGTAGTTGTGGCTAGTTGGATTGATGACGTTAGGCAGGGAAGAAGGTCTTAGAACGATCTTAGCGTTATTTAAATTTGACATATTTATTACAATAGCCAGAAATAGAATATAAAAAAACAGACCACTTGGTCATCCACCACATACCAAGGAATTTTTTATTAATTTATTCTTGAACTTGTTTTTTATTAGGTATTTAACGTTATTCCATTAATCGCCTGACATGTGAACATCTTGGTCCTCTGCACGTCCAGGGAACCTATGTAAAGTGTACGCTCTTCCTAAAGGCTTGCACACTCAGTTTTCAAGTTTGCCACTACGGTTGGAGCAGCTGATAGTGGCACGGGTTCTTCCCGATTTCCTAGGCATCGTTGTAAAAGTAACGTTTTTTTAATGGGAAAAGTAGAAAATTGTACACTTCTTAGGACAGCTTGCATTCGAACGCATGCATATTGTAGGAAGAGGCAACCGCAGTAATGTTGAGACTTTTTTACTTTCAGTACTTCCCCAAATGTATGTATGTATAACAAACCCTTTATAGAAATACTAGAACCAAACTATATGCCTGAACAAAGCCTAACCATGTTCTTAGTGTGGTTTGGTACTTTTAGTACAGAAAAATGAAGGTCAGACAAAAACAGGAGATTTGGAAACATGTTCAGACAGCCACAGGCGGCAACCTACTTGGGAGCGCTTCCACTTGCCCATGTCAGGCACCATGCTGATTTCTTTCTTGGGTACCATGAAGGTGCTGCCGGCTGTGCCTTCAGGTGCTTCATCCTCAGGAGTGGATCCTAAATATGTTAGAGACAGTCTTCATCTTAACATCAATGCCGGTTAATTCAAAAACATATTTCAGAGATAAATCCAGTGTAAATATGCAGAACATATCTTCTGGGTTTTAGCAGCTAACATTAGTTTTTAAATAAGTAAATTCAGTATCCACTGAATATGATCATCTTCATTTTATGCTATTTACTAGAGATTTATCACAGAAAGCTTGTTATTTAAACTGGTATTTAAAACATGTGCAAGGTATTTTTGTAGCCTAACACACAGGGACTAACATACTGAATATCTCGGCCTCGGCTGCTTCAATTTTGACAATTCGTGTTTAAACCTGCCTCTTGTGACTGAAGCACTGATATGAAAGTGAAATACTAAATTGCTGCAGTGGCACTTTTAATCAGAATTTAGCTCCATATGTCATATCAGTCTGCTTTGCATTGTTGCTTTGCACTGTGGAGTAAGTGAACCCTCCGACTTTTAAATAAGAGTCTATACTGATGGTGTTATTAATGAATGAGTAAAAGGCTTTGGAGTCTATACTGATGGTGTTATTAATGAATGAGTAAAAGGCTTTGGAGTCTATACTGATGGTGTTATTAATGAATGAGTAAAAGGCTTTGGAGTCTATACTGATGGTGTTATTAATGAATGAGTAAAAGGCTTTGGAGTCTATACTGATGGTGTTATTAATGAATGAGTAAAAGGCTTTGGCGCAACATTGAAAACTCAAAATTCACTCTACGTGCTAGCTAACAGCTCACTGACAGTAAAGCAAGTGACCGAGGGCTTTATTTTAGAGTTGGACAACAACTGCTTACACACAACACAGAGTACGACTTCAAGTTGGTATTAAAGTGTGAAACAAGCCCAAATGGCAGCTTATGTTGTTGACAATGTTCATGGATAGCTTTGCCCGAGGACAGCGGTGTTACACCTTCTGAGTTTATCCAATAAACGTAAAGTTCATTTCTTAAATGTGCCATGTTTCTGTCAGTGTAGCACGCATGCTAACGTCATTAGCTTTTAACACAAGAGAGCAAAAGCGACACAGAAGTTGGTCAAACCCGAGCAGGAGCATTCAGCGGTGCTGCTTTACCTGACTGCTGCTCTGTTTCCGCCATGGCGCCGCTTATACTCTTCTTCGTGGGTTGTTGAAGGCAGATTTAAAACAGCCATAGCTCCTCACTGCCCCCCGCCGGTTGGAATCGAGATGACATTGTGCTATGAAGCCTCCTGCTCCGACTATTTTCACTTTCTAAAACTTTTTTGTAAACATTTTTTTTTAAAAGTACTGAAAGTATCAAATATAAACGTTCGCATTGCACAGAATGCATTTAGTGCAGTTTATCCCCTATTTCAAAATCATATTATATAGGTATTATAGATTCTAAGGTTGTTTCCATCAGTGTTTTTTTTATTGAAAAGTATAAGTCAAAAACTATAGAACATTAATGCATCATAATGAAAATAAATAGTATAACAGAACATTAAACAGGACTACACATTCAACGTAGCAGCAGGACAACATACACAAAGACAAAAACAGCATTCAAAATAATAATAATATGGACTATATTATAGACTTAAGTACTTTCTAAAAGGTTCAGATGATTACCAGGACCTCGAGGCGTTATGGACGTGATATTTCCCCAATCCATCAGTATTGATCTATTGATGATCGTAAACACTGCCTATCAATAAGAAGTCACACCCACCGGTCCTGTGCGGCGGCAGACAGACAGACAGACAGACAGACAGACAGACACTGCGGGAGGAGTCAGAGGCAGCCGGTCTCCGCGGGGGTCTGCTGGGGGAAAAAGCTCAAAGCGAACAGTGTGTGCTGGACTTTGAGCACTGACGGACCTCGGACTGCGGGGTGTGCGGGGTGTGCGGGGTGTGCGGTGGGCGGCTCTTTGGAGGCACAATGTGGGGCATTTGCAGCAGAACGATGGTAAGTTAGAGACCCTCTCAGTTAGCGGACCTTAACGCTGGTCCAAAGCCAACTTTAGCTCTAAAATGGATTCCTTTGATATTGTTGACTGTGGCCGGAGACGTGACAAAGCGTTTCAGACAGTTTGTAGTGATTTATCACTTACCAATAGCGAGTTAGCGAGTTAGCTATCTGTTAGCTAGGTGGTGAAGTGTTGCTGTTAGCAAAGTTAGCTGATCTACGTTAGTTCGTTAGGGACTGAAGTAGCTAACTAGCGGTTAGCTAGCTCACTGGGTCAAAGGTGATTTTGTGGTCAGTTGAGATTGAAGTTAGCTACAAAGCACAGACAGACAGACTGACACTGCTAATGACGGTAAGACTTCCGCTAAGTGACGGTGTCTTACAGTTAACGTTAGATAGATATACAGACAATATAACATTAAAGTTACTCATCATCAAACTCACTTTAGAATTTGACAAAGGCCCCTGCTTGGAGGAACATGTCTGAAGATGTCATTTGACATAAAGACAAACAATGTCACCATGGTTACAGTTATATCTTCAGCCTGTGACAACAGTAACATTAACAGACTGTCAGATTGTTAAGTAGAGAATGACTCCTCAGTAGAAGTCACACATGCATTGGGAAGCAAATATTGTTGATGTTTGTTTCACCAACGCTATTTACCTCTTAGTACTGTTGTTGACATATTTCTCTATTTGTCCTTGCTGTAGTCCAGTTGGAAATGAGTACAGACTGCCCTCTACCGGCGATGTGTGTTAGTGAACTGCTACCAAACACTGCACCTCAGTTGGATTTAGACAGTCTGTTTATTATAGCTGCATGTTAACCAGAAACCACTGGCAACTGATTCTGGTGTACAGCCAAGGTTGGGATACAATTACAGTTACTGAATAATAACTAAATAAGTTTCAATAATAATTAAATGTTTAAAAAATGTAGTCATTAACCCAATCCAAGTATCACAACATTAAAGTAACGTAACTTGATTACGTTCAGTTATTTTGGGATTGTCTCAATAGCAAATAAAAACGAGAAAAGAAATGTCAAAAAGGAGTATTAGTGCAAGTTTATTCTTTGAGTCAACAGAGGCATCAAAAACACGTCCTCTGCTCAGTGTATTTATAAAGAAAAACTGATGTATTTTATAATTGTCTGATTTAAGATTTAGAAGAGTAATGCTATTAAAGGGCAGACTCAGCCAGAGTTATTGTCCACAGTTGACTGGGCAGATAACAACAACTCTATTTGAACGATCATGTGTTTAATGGACACTCCTTTGTCTCTCAGGTGAAGGTGGGGATGGTGAAACCCTGCGGCTTAATGAAACCCTGTCACTTGGTGAAGCCTGTATCAGCAACTCGGGTCTCCGGGAGATATCTGACCCACCAGAGGGGACTGCCCGGTCTGCCCGTCCCCCCTCTGCAGCAGACATGTGAGCGCTATATTGGCGCCCTGGAGCCCATTGTGGAGGTGGACGAGCTGAAGCACACCAACGAGCTGGTGGACGAGTTTCAGAAGGCAGGGGGGATCGGGGAGAGACTGCAGAGAGGACTGGAAAAGAGAGCGAGTAACACCGAGAACTGGGTGAGCTCAACAGCTGGGCCGGCAGATGTTCACACGTTGACTTAAAAAGTATTGTGACGTGGGACTTGTGTAAGACGATGCTCGTCTGACACATACTGTTTGTTTTCATTCTGTACACCTTCTAATTCATCTGGCCACTGTGTTGATGTGTTATTGACTGTGTGTCTGTGCAGCTGTCAGAGTGGTGGGTGCAGGTTGCTTACCTCGAGTACCGGCTGCCTGTGGTGGTTCATTCAAGTCCTGGGCTGGTCTTGCCCCGCATGAACTTCAGGGATAAGCAGGGACAAATAAGGTGACCCCCCCCCTCCACACACACACACAAATTCTGACAACTTTAAGATGTCATAACTTTCACTAACAGTGGAAATAAATGTATCCCAGCCAACATAAGGACATGTTCATACACATTAACATGAATATCAATCATGTTCTCTCTGTTTAGGTTTGCTGCCAAACTGATAGCGGGTGTTTTGGACTTTAAGACAATGATTGACAAGTGAGTGCTGAGCATAAAACATTCCCGGTTTTGTCCTTTAACTTCAACACTGAGTAAATGTCAACATATTGTAAAGGACATTGTGGCTAGGTTAGTGTTTAATGGCGGAGCTTGTATGTTTTGCAGTGAGACACTACCAGTTGAATATCTGGGAGGGAAGCCCCTGTGTATGAATCAGTACTATGAAGTGCTGTCGTCCTGCCGGATACCCGGTCTGAAGAGAGACTCTATTGTGAACCACGCCAAGAGCTCCAGGCCCTGCAAACACATCACAGTAGTCCACAACTTTCAGGTGAGGAGCACTGGTCCAAGTCCCACATCTGTGTCTGAGCTCCTCTGGGACCGAGGACCTGTATCACGAAGCAAGCTAGTCTGGCTCTCCTGGCTTCACTGGGTTAGCATTCCAGGATAGCTGCTAATCGTAGCAAAATGTTACGTAGTTAACTAGCTAAGAATCAACGCGAATTGGCTAGCAATTTAGCTAGCATTTGGCTAACTTTAGCTCTCAGATGTAACTGCCTAGCTAATGATTGACCATGCTATCACGGTAAGCAAAGTTACTCTTCTAATATGTACTCTTTTTTATTTTACTTTGATTCACCTTGATTTTGATATTCCAAAATCACAAATCACAATTTAAGAAAAGACTCTCCAAGAAATCCCTTTAATGATGGAAAATAATTTGTGTCCCTCTCAGGAGGCTGTAGGAACAATGACTCCATTTCTCCACTGATCTGATCAGGAGGCTCGTACGTTTCTATCCCATCCTCTGATCTGTACCTGCTATGGGCAGGTTAGCCATGCAGCAGCATAGGTTGCCATGGTGATCTACACTTGCTAAAAGTGTGCCAGTTTACTAGAAAGCCAGAGCTGAACCAAAGATAGCTGGAAAAGCCACTAATCTTGCTTTGTGATGCAGGCCTCAGGTCTTCAGATCTTCATCCTTTGTTGGGTCTGTATTGGGGTTTTTTAAGGCTTTGCCAGGAGACCATTCAAGACCTCTTCTTAAAGTTAACCTTCAGGTCATTTCCAGTGTAGAACCATACAATAACATTTGCCAAAAGCTTACGGTTGTCATTACATCTGGCAAACCGACAGTTTTCCACTAAAAGTGAAAAACCTGACTGAGCCTTTTCTCGTCTTTCCTCCTCTCGGAATCAGTTCTTTGTGTTGGACGTGTACAACAGTGATGGAACTCCACTGACATCCGATCAGCTCTGCGTTCAGCTGGAGAGGATCTGCAGCTCCTCACCGCAGGCCGACGTGGAGCCTGTGGGCATCCTTACCACCCACCATCGCGACTCCTGGGGCAAGGCCTACGTCAACCTCATCAAGGGTGAGCTCAAAGACGACCAACACCGATCTGAAAAGCAGTAAAAAATAAAACTGCACACAGGAATTAATCGTGAATTATAGTTAGTAATGTCGATACAGTATGTAAAAATGTTCAATTAGTTCAACTTTTACAGCCGGATTACATAATAACACCATGACTGCTTTGTGTGCGCGTACTTGGTGTGTCCAGATAAGACCAACAAAGAATCCGTGTCAGCTATCCAAAGGAGCATCTTCACCCTGTGTTTGGACGGAGCCATGCCTCGAGTGTCTGATGACACCTACCGTAGCTCTGCCGCCGTCCAGATGCTGCACGGAGGAGGCAGCCAGTGGAACAGTGGCAACCGCTGGTTTGACAAGACGCTGCAGGTCAGCCACACAAGCTTTGTATACACACACTCATTTCCCTTATCAGCAATAGCTCAACTAATGTTTCAGCATCTAGCATTTAACACATACCACTTTCTCTGTATCAGCTCAGGCTTCAGCTCTGTGCTCTATCAGGGATCCCACACATCCTGGAAAATCTGGAAAACCTGGAAATTTGAGACTAGATTTCTGTCATGAAAACACCTGGAAATTGATTAAAATGACCAAATATCATTGACCAAATATCTTTGCTCTGGAAAAGTCAGAGTGAGTTGTGAGACAAGTGTTGTCCTGGATTGTAAGAAAAAACTCCTGGAAAGGTCCTGGAAAATGTCCTGGAAAGGTCCTGTTTTCGACTTGTTTTAGCCCAATAGAAAGGCTTTATGCTCACTGGTAATTCTGGTTTAGTACACACATTACACGAGGGGTGTTTCATAAAGCTAGATTACCAGTGAAACCAGGCTTACTTCTGTAAGTCAGGCCTATTTAAATCTATTAAAACACATATTATTAAACCATTTATCAAACGAGTAACTAACAGCAGTCAATGTCGTACCTTAACAGTAACCTTGTGTTTGTGTAGTGTTGAAAAAATGTAAATAAAATTATACAAATTATCAGTTTGAATTATACTAAAAGCTCCCTGCACCAAACTTCCTTTAAGAAATATTATCATTTGAACAATTCCTAACCTGTCCGTAAAAACACAAGCTAAAGGCTTTTATTTTTGAAAGTCTTAATCCATAAAGATAAACTGTATTCTGTACAGAGTTTACATTTTGTCACCTCAGCACGTTCAGCCTCCGTTGTAGCTGCGCTCTTTCAGTGGAAGAACAGTGTGTGAATGAGTGGCGGACTGTTTTAGAAATTAAGATTTCTCACTAAAATAAGTGCTGGTAGGTGGATCAGATAGAATAGTGTACTGTTGGTCACATTCAACAAATTCCTCAGGCTGTAATACATTCTTGTTTTATGTTTTGTTCTCAACAATTGTGTGATCTTTGTGTCAGTTTATTATCGGAGAGGACGGGACGTGCGGTGCGAACTACGAGCATGCCCCAGCTGAGGGCCCACCCATAGTGGCCTTGATCGACCACGTTGTAGAATACACGTAAGTAGGTCGCAGATTGCTTTGGCTCAGTAGGTGTCTGTTTGGAGTTTTTCTGGTTACAACATCTTCGAAAGTTCAGCAACAAGACACATAGCACAACAAAATCACAGAACTCTGCTACTGGCATGGACAGGCAGTTTATGAGGTATGACTTCGGTTTGTTTTTGTTCCCTCTCATGTATCGTTTCTTCTCTTTCTTGTTAACAATAACAGGAGGAAGCCAGAGATGGTTCGGTCTCCCATGGTCCCTTTGCACATGCCCAGGAAACTGCACTTCAACATCACGCCTGAGATTAAGAAGGACATTGAGGAAGCCAAGCACCACATGAACACGTGAGATTTTTATAACTACACCAGCACAATAGGTATACACATATTTATACTTCATTTCATTAAGTACCAAGATAGACCTGGTCTCATTGTCCTGACATTCCTCCCTCCACAGACTGGCCCAAGACCTGGATATGAGAGTCATAGTATTTGGCCACTTTGGGAAAAATGTCCCGAAGGCCCACAAGATGAGCCCTGATGCTTTTATACAGGTAGCCCTACAGCTGGCTTACTACAGGTGAGTTTCTGGAGGTGGACTGTCTTTGTATGCAGACTTTTTAATCTTTAAATTCCAAACTGGTGCTACCTAGAGAGCTTCATGTTGATCACACTTTTAGGCTGCAACAGAGATTCTTATATCCATAATTGAGCTGGATTCCCCCATTTTTCAGGTACTTACAATTATCTGGGCTGATATGTACAGTATAAAGTTCTATGTAATGATCTAAATAATGGTACTAAATAGGGTTGGGCTGGCTTTTACCACTAGATGTTGCACATGACTCAGCCACTCCCAGGTGGAACATAATGAGAGCCCTTGAATGAGAGAAAAGCTGCCAGTTAATTGAGTTTTGAGTTTTTCACAACACGTTTATGATAAAAGCCTGGTTAAGAAATGAAGGCCCACTGTACTACTAGAGAGCTTTTAATTTGAAATAGATACAGGAATAAGGCTTCTTATTTTTCTGTCTGCTACGCTACTGACAAACTATAGTTTGCTAGCTACCTCGCTAACATAGGTAACAGATGTGATAAGCATGAGTGACATAATGGTTGTCAGGGACAGGGTTACATTGGGCTATATGCACACTTGAGTGACCCAAATCTTGATTATTTTGCTCACATGTGACTCATATAGAATCTGATCTTTTCAAGTCTGTTGTGGTCCAGGATTTTTTGCAATGCAACCTCAGTATGAACTGTCATATCAGAATGCATGGGACCTTTACTATTCTCCCTTTAATATGGCTTATAGCGGTGGCATGAGCCTAAAATAAACAGGTTTTTACTGTGATTTAATGTCAATAAACGGTTCAAAAGGATGCCGAAAAGAAGAGAGTGAAGACGAATCCACTTTTAAAGAAAAAGTTTAAAGAATAAACTGGTAAACGTCTGCAGATCAGAGCAGAATCCAGTGGGACTGTGGGTGTTTATTCCTCCAGGAGCTCCTGCTCTGCCCCAGGCTCTCTTCTGTAGAGCACCCCTGGCTCAAGCTCTGTCCCTCTGCTCCTTCCCATATTTTGTATTTCACACTCACACAAAATTACATTTTGCTCTATTCACATCTTGGCATTGAATTTTGAACTGAACTGAAACTGATTTCTGTTTGGTGGGATTGCAGTATTAGAGTTATATTTAAGTGTGATACTTCTAAGTGTGATACTTCTTTGCTGACTGCAGTGACTCCCAGGTGCCGTAAAATAAGGACTACAATTTGCCTTTTGTGACTCCAGACAGAGCTGTGTGAAGTCTGATAAATGTCCTCAAGTGATGTCACTTGAGGCAGCGTGAATTGGGTCTGAAGACTACAGGTTTGAAAATAAATACAAACTCTGTCGGTGTAGATTTAGGAAGAAGTGAGCTCATCAGACCTCTGTAGCCCACTCCCCATCTCTGCTAGAGGCTCCAGGCTACATTACATTACACATTCTCTGACTAAAATGTCAGTGGTTGAGTTGCATTATGGGCAATGTAGGTGCTAGGTTTTGACAAGGAAGAATAATGTGTGGAATAAAGAAGACACTTGAGTTATTTGATGTGGTGTTGGTATGATGGGTGTTGTGACAGACCAACTTACTGTATCATCACACATTTCCCAAATCTCTTCTCAGTGTGGTGTGTGTGCCTCTGTGTTGCAACACTGCCATCTGCTGTTCACTCCTGAGCCCTCTGAAATCATTTGAGAGCTGAGACCAAGACTGAATACTCAAAATAGTTTATGCATTATAAGTATTCTTATTCTAATGAAATCACTTAATTCTGAGAATTGTTTTACACACGTCAGCAAGTATTTTTCTCTGAGCGGCTTTATACACAAAGGCCATGATGACTCCGCAACAGCAAGCATGTTAGAGTTGTTCTCACACCCTCTCTCCTCTTGTGTCGGCAGGATGTACAAGTGCTGCTGTGCCACATATGAGAGCGCCTCCCTGCGTATGTTCAGACTGGGCCGTACCGACACAATCCGATCAGCCTCAAGCGCCTCGGCCTCCTTCGTCAAGGCCTTCGACGAGCCCGGCAAACAGGTCAGACGAGAGTGGATATTTTAATGGAATGTGTTTGTATTTACAGCAGCTGTTCTGGCAGTGAATCAATCACTCCGATTAAAACCAGAACTCTCTGACATGGTAATACCAGGCTTTTTCAATCACAGGCCTGGAATTAAGTCACTTTTGGTCTTTGATAAATACAAATTTATTGGGTTAAATACATTAGGTCATTCTCACACATGTACTGAAGTAAAATGAATGCAGCAGTAATATTAAATCCAAAAACATCACATACAATAGTAAAACACTGCTTCTTGCTGCCATGCTTACATACATTTACCTTTAGTAAGGTTTAGAATACAGAACTTCTAGTAGTTCTAGTTCTTGTAGTGACACATTTTTTGCCTGACTAATGAAACTAAATGAAGAAAAAGGAATTATAGAAATGTTGCGCTACTGTTGATATCCAGTGTTCTGACAGCTGTGTGGCCTTGGTATAATGACACTAAGTGATACAGCAGTCAGGTTCTGATAGCACTTGGAGTCACACTGCAGCACACTACAGAAACGTCACTGGAAAGCAGCGATACGGGTGTGATGGTGCATAATGATTAACCTTTATTCTTTCACTGTTGAGGAATTTCAGTGTTACACGTACATCCTCAAGTTTTTAAGTAAACACATTTGACCGTTGTTATACTATAAGCTACTGTAAAGTGTGTCTTAACATTCCTTTCTTATTCCTGTTTTCCTCAGAACACAGAGAAGGTTGATCTATTGGTGAACGCCGTGAAAGCACACAGGTCATACACTAACATTGTGAGTATTCACAGCACCGGGATTGGCAGAATGCTGCTGAAAATAGTCCCCTACAAATGCACTATTTCCTCCTGTTTGATAAAGACTACAGTGACCAGCTGTTTTAGAGAATTACTGTATTAAGTAATAATGCTATTTGTTTGCAATAGGAAAAATCTAGAATGTTTAGCCTTATTTTTTATTAGTTAAAGGCATACTGTTCAGATTTTTCTGTTGCTCTTTGTAAACGTGCCACTCAAAGTTGGCCCCTCCTCCCCAGCTCAACTGAAAGCTGCGATGGTGGAACAAGGGTCCAAACATTATTTTCTGATTGTTTCACAGCGGTTACGGTCTAAAGCACAAATAACCACAGCCACACCACCGCACAACGGGAAAAAAAGGTGCACTTTGCAGAATTTTGTACCGAAGCTGCTTTGTAGCTCAGCCCTGGACTCGGTCAATCAGACACACAGAACGCAGCTCTTTATACATTCCTAGTCTCCCACAGACCTGTCCCTACAGTGTGTACCACAGCTGGAGATCAGAAGAAAGGGAGAGAGACAGAGCCAGCGACCCCTTTTTAAAAAAAATGAGTCTATGCATTGTTTTGATGACTAACTAACTGATGAATTCTCTCTGCCCCTGCAGGCTATCAGTGGCCAGGCCATAGACAGACACCTTCTGGGCCTTAAGATGGTGGCTATTGAGGAAAAACTACCCATACCTGCAATCTTCACAGACACTGCCTACGCCAAAGCCTTACACTATCGGCTATCTACAAGTCAGGTACGAACCAGAGTTGAAACTGAAATAGAAAAATGGTGTTTTTGAGAATCGGTACAATATCATGAAACAAAATATCACAATAGGATATTTTTGGATATTTTCTTATAATATGGGTTATTTTGTCAGGATAATGATGACTAAAATGTGCCTTACACTTCCTGCTTGCCTCATTGTCGCCCAGGCTTGTTGAAAAAGGGGGTGTGGCTCTACTGTTGGATGATATGGGACACTGTGATTGGCTTATAGACATCCAGTCAGATAAGTTTGCACATTTGTCAGTCATAGATGTAGACATCCTAGAAAGTCATGTCCGTTGGAATGGACGGGGGATCTGAACAGGCTAAAGTAGTAGAAGATGCTAGTAGATGGATGTGTTTGACCCTATAACCCAAAACTAACCACCACATTCTCACTCCTTACCAAAGGTACCGTCCAAGACTGACTGCGTCATGTGCTTCGGCCCCGTCGTGTCCGATGGATACGGCGTGTGCTACAATCCCATGAACGATCACATCAACTTCGCGGTGTCGTCTTTCAACACCTGCGAAGAAACCAGCGCAGCGCGTCTGGCCCGGGCCGTGGAGGGGGCGCTGCTGGACATGAGGACACTGCTGGAACAAACCCCGAGAGCCAAACTGTGAAGCTCCAGAGTATACTGAACGTCTTCATGGATGAAATGGACGATACGGTGCTGCCTCCTAATGAGTCACACTCGATAGGAAGACCGTTCTTTGTGTGATTGAGTGACACTTGACCCTACCGCTGCAGCTGGTAGTCTGAACTAGTATTCTGTTTTTCCCAGCATGTTATTGATCAGCATTGTGCACTTTAAATCATGCTGTGTAATGTGGTACAATCCACACACACTTTAAATTAATATTGATGCACTCTTCTCTGCTTCAAAGAGTAACTGAAATATCAACAGAAATGATCTACTTGATGGATATTTTCTGATTTTATCACCCACGAGTCAGCCCTGTTTTGTCTGGTTTATGCCTCTGTGCCTTCGACCTCCATTGTTGCCTAAAAACTACTAAAGTCACTGGGCTGCACTGCTGCATTAGGTGACATTTTGTTTCATTCATAGGTGGCAATAGTACTCACATTGTTTACTCCAGTAGAAGTAGTAGTAAACTCAGGTAAAATTAGAAGTACTGAATCAACTTTGTTACTCAAGTAAAAGTGAGTAAGTACAGGCGCTGAAATGTAATCAAATACTCTGAGTGGCTGATGGTGAAACTATTGTATGCAGCATAATAAGTGGATATTACAGCATCCTGCTTTAGCTTTCATTTAGTGGGTACAAAGATTACATAACAGACCCTATCTTGTATCCATCCTCTTTTATTCTGAAGGTCCGGTTCGGAAGTCTTATCACTTCCTTTGAACGGTTCCGTTCTGTAGATTTTTTTTTTGTTTTGTTTTTATACCTCACAGAGCGTGCAGTATATTGATTTATGGGCATTTCTACCATATGACTCCCAGCAGGCTCTGTGTGGTTTACATATTTTAATTTCAAATCATTTGTAAACTGCAAAATCACTGGATCTTCCTCAGATGGAAATGTCAGATGAGACTTTTGTTGGCCAGTTAGCATTTCATCCATGTTTGTTGTGTAAGGAAATATAATTAATCTGAATGTAGAAATGAGGCTGATGACACCGGGAGAACAATCGAGCAGAAACATTGCATAATAATGGGGAGTGTGTGATGGGGGAGGGAGAGGGGAGGAGGTTATTGATGGTTGTTGCTCAAATTGTTCAACACTTCCCAAATGAAATGCTTATTTTCTGAAAGCACTTCCTGTTTATGTCCTTTCTTAAGTGTTACTTTAACACCATCTCCTCTTCAGCACCGTCTCAGTACCCTGCTGTAAAGCTGGTTCAGTGGTGAAGGCAGACAGGATGGGACCTTTTAAACTGTCCAAGTTCTTTATTTTTGCTATTTTGTACAGCAGTGGATCAGTGCAGCATTACAGTGTACATCAGCTTGGTCCAAACTAAAAAAAAAAAAAGAAAAATTAATAAAATTTAAAGCTGCAAGCTGTTTTACGTCGGTGGCATGTTCAGGATGGGAAGGTTTGGTGGAGATTGTACACACAGTTGCAGTTAGCACTTGGAGGAGCCAGAAGAACCTGTTTTTTTCACAGATTATCTGTGTCATGTACTACTGTCAGGATATAATGAAAGTTTCAGCAAATATGACAAAAAGCAGCTTTAATCTCAAACTGTTCAGAGTCAGCATATCCTCCAAACATTTCCACCAGAAACCTTAAAAGGAGTCCAAATCCAGAGAATAACTCTGGGAATTCCAACCCTGGGAATGAGACTCGGTAATCAACTATCTTTAAACCTCCAACCCAAAGTGTATTTCTATCTTTCTGGGCTCTGATTGGTTGCTTTTGTTCGGCCCGATGGATTCTTGCAAATGCCATTAAGAGCACTAGGAGGAGCCAGAGAACCCTGATTTTTTCACAGATTATCTGTCTCATGTACTACTGTCAGGACATAGTGAAAGTTTCAGCAAATATGACAAAAAGTTGTTTTTATAAGAGTTACCTACTGCAGCTCTAAATAAATAGATAAATAAGACTATACATTATTATATGAATAAACATAAAACTTGGTAAAACTTGAAATTATAAAACAATCCAACATTTTTCATCATTTTGGAAATGCGGAAATTTAGTCTGTTTTTATTTCGCAATGCCATTTCCCAAGTGACTGTCTGGTTCTATAATGCTAAGAATTGCTCCTGAAGGCTGTGTCATTGGTCTGCAAATGTGTGAGCAATAGTTTCTGTTTCTGGTGAGCAGCCTCTGCCATCAGTATGAACATGTGTGTGAATGTTGATGTGTAAAGCACTTTGACTGGTTGGAAGACTAGATAGGCCCTCCAGACAGTAAATGCTGTACATGTGGTGATTGTTTGAAGAGGCAGAGAGCCCTGTCGCCACAGAAGGACTCGTCGCAGTGCTCTGACACTTAATTCACCCTTTCACTTCTCTGTCTGCCAGCTGCCAGCCTGACTCACCCTGAACTCAACTCTGTGTGAATTCCCGGCCCACCCACGAACAGTCACTGACCTCTTAACACACACTCCCTCACATCCACGTACTCTCCAGCATCTCCTCTACTCACCGACAGCTCGGGAAAAACAATGGCACTCTTAGATCCCTTCCCAGGTACTTCACATGGACTATGATGATTAACACGTGACACGCTGGACAATACCAAGGTATGGACAACAAAGGGGTCTTGGCTTTGTGGAGAGACTTCTTTTTAAGACTAAAACAGATGTAACAAATGTATTTAACCCTGAATTGCAAGTGAGATCAAACTATTACCACCTTGTGGTTATACTGTGTGAACCATATGTCATTGGTGTGATCACATAGCTTTCACTTTAACTAAGAGACTACCAGAGTTTGTATTCTATATATACTGTATATTGAGGTCAGTTATGTTCTTGTTTGAACATACAACAAGGAGTTTTTAACTGGTTATGAAACAGTTTCAGTTTATTTCTGAAGCTCTATATGACCTGCATGTGGTAAACAAACAAGACATCAGCAAGAAGACACTTCTTAAAGGCCCAGTGTGTAGGATTTAGTGGCTTATAATGGTGTAGAGGCAGATTGCAGCTCACTCGCTTGACCCTCCCTTTCCAACTGCAAGGGAGAAACTGAGGTGGCAGCAAAACACACGAAAAACGTGAAAGGCACAATCTAGAGCCGGTGTAAAAATGTTGGATTGTTTCACAATTTAAAGTTCTATCACATATTTTGTATTTATTTACATAATCATGTATTTCATAATGTCTTATTTACGATGTTTATTATACAAACAACCGCAAAGAAAGGAGTGGAGTAAATACAATAAAAAAAGACAAAACTAAATGAGTTAAATAGTTCAATAGATATTTATCTATCAGTACATTTAGTGAACTGAAATATGATTTATTTAGAGCTGTATATAGTCCCACTACTGAGCATTTTTTCACTTGTGTTGTGCTGTAATAATAGTAGTTAAAATAATAGTTTGTAGTAATTATTCTTTCCAAAAGATATTGGCTTTGCAATGTATTGAAAAAAAAAACAACTTAAATTCAAATGAGTTCTTGATTGAGCTTTAGATATAAATAATTAACCTAACAGATTATTTATATTAATTATCTGAAGACATGTCATCCAGTACCCAACATATTATTCACATATTTTTCTACCGTAGTTTTAGATAGGGCCTTTGAATGTTTTTTGTGCATTACACAGCCACCATAGTTTCTCCTACACACTTGGAAGGGGAGGATGAAGCGAGGGAGATGCCGCTAGATGCCACTAAATCCTACACACTGGACCTTTGGTATTGACCACTTTGGTTTCCATAGTATGAGTCTTGTTATTACTATCCTGCTTGATATCGTTCTAATAACTTGAGACCCTTGAGATGCAAACTCTCTGTAACTCAGTGACTTCAGCTTCCCCTTCTATTTTTACTTTCTTCCTGTAACCTTCCCGCTGAAGGGGCTGTTTCGAGGAACTCAAAATGTGGACACATAAAGGATTTGAGAACTTATATTTTCAAGAAGTTGTCCTGATTTCTCTCAGCACACTCTGTGACCCATGAGAAATAATTAGAATAAATTAATAGAATTGTCTTACTGTCTTGATGAAGGCCTATACCACATACTGAAACTAATAACTGAGTTATTTACAAGGAATCAAAACATTTTCAGTGCAAGTTAGGCATTCATACACATTTGTACAGAAGCCCTTAAAGTGAAAAATGTTCTTGTGATCTGAATCAGTGCAGCGGTGGTTAAGACTTTTATTGCCACTATTTATACTTTCTTCTGATAAACCGCCTACTGATGAGTCTATTTCGAGGAACTCAGAGCGTGGACACACATTTGGTTTATATCTGATAACAGAACCTCTTTGTCCCTATTATAAAGTGTGGTGGATTTTCAAGAAGTTGTCCTGATTTCTCTCTGTAGCACAGTTAGCACTCTGACCCATGAGAAATAATCAGAATAAACAATTTTCTTACTGCCTTCATGAAAGCTCACCACACTGGGATAGTAAAACATGTGTATGTGACGTCACTTCCAAGGAATCAAAACATTCTGAGAGCAACTAAGGCATGTCCGATCTGGCCACTGTGACTCACAATTACCAGCAGCAGCTGCTCCCTTTCCTGCTCTGAACTCCAAATGGATTTCATAATTGTTATGCACTCCAACAGCAAATGGGCTTTCTAAGCATAGGCTTCTTTTGAAGGGGGAGTTTCTTCAGGGAGTAACTTGATGCTGGGAGTCTTTTCTGTTTCATTATAAGTCCTCATAGCCTTCAAGTTAAATAAATTCCCTTTTTAAGATCCGTAACAACCAGTCGACCTCCTCGTGTAAGTATTATTCATCTACATAAAAATAACATGGGAATATCCTGCTCTTCAGTGAGATGTTTACTTTTTTGACAGCTAACAAACTGAGGGTATTTATTTCCACAGGTATCAAGTGTGATTAGTGGATGCTTTGGATGCTTTTTCCATGATAAAAGTGCTAAATCCAAGACTTGAGGGCAGGTTGACCTTAAAGGAATAACGACAGTTGACCACAAACAGCCATTGTAAGGAGGAATATAATGATCACATGGTTATTACTGTTTGCACTGTTCTGCAAGAGCACTCAATATGGAAATGGACAAAACAATGGTGAGTATGTCATCCTTTCACTTAATATCAGTATATCTGATACTGTATAAGAATGTTATAGAATTTCCAAGTGAATTTATAATTGATGTTGAAAGACATTGCCAGACTTTACATTCACTGTAGATGATTTACTGTAATGATAATTAGACTTTTAACAAACATTTTGGTTGTAACTGCTTTTTGAGTTTTGTCTCATAACTTCTCCTGACATGCTATTGGCAATATGAGTAGATACAGTATATTTAATATGGGTGTAAGAAAATATTGATACCCTCATGATATTTTGTTTTGTGATATTGTATATCGATTCTCAAAAACACTGTATTGTAATAAGTAATTTCCCCCCCGGGATTATTAAAGTATTTCTGATTCTGATAGATTTTTGTGTTTAAACCCCAATCGCTAGATAGCAGTGTTGTAAACATAAACTGAGGGCCATGATGTTGGATGATACATGGACTGTGATAAATACAAGCATACTGTAGCAACTTTCCTACAGATCTGCAATATATTGAATGGTAACCCCTGTATCATATTGCCAGATTCTTGCCAATACTAATACTTAATATTTAAATGTATACATACATTTCAGGAGGCATTTCAGGAGGCAATAAGGCATCAAATCACAACAAAGTGATATATAATTAAAAGACCCATATCAGTAAAATTCAGTAACAACAGTAAAGCAGATAAAACATATTGAAAACCTAACTGCACTGAGAAAGTTAGTTTTAAACAATTAAAAGAAAAGAAAATAACTTTGTAGGTGGGTTTGCTCCTCAGGATAATGTTGTGCTCAGGATGTCCTTTAAAATGTACTGTGATCATTTTCATCAGGTGTTTCGCACTGTGGACCTCAGTTTCTTACAGCAGAAAGCACTGACCATATGATCTGGTTAACATGGGAGGACGACAGTGCGTGCCCTAAAGTAGATCTGATCTACGAGCTGGTGGTTCTGATCATGGGCAAGCAAGTATTAAATGTAAGAGTTCACTAGTATTACACCAAAGTTGCTGACTTTCAGAACAGTAACCTCAGCTTCAGCCAAGCAAACAGGCCTACCTCTAATTTGATTATGAAAATGTTTCAGGCGACAGTTGAGGTGATGCGTGACCAGATAGGATCTACTCATTACTGGAACGGGACATCTGATCTGGAATTGGAGTGTGCTTCTGTCAGGCTCAGGTCCCGATACAAAAACCACACAAGCCCATGGATAGAAGTACAGACTAGTCCTAAGGACGCCCTGAGAAGCAAGTGAATCGTGATCGTTTCTCAAAGTTTTAGAAAATTATTTTTTCACTTTCCTTTCAGGGCCTCCATACATTTGACATCCATGATGCTCGTCCAGATGCTTATATGTGTTATTATTGTGCTTTTGCAGACATAAAAAATAATAGTCCAGCGGTTTTTCCACGGGACAGACTGGTTGAGGTTGGCAGAAATGTCACCTTCTGCTGCATTCTGCCAGTGGGGCAAAAATTCAAAAAAATGTATCTGGAATGGAATGGTTATAATATGGACCCTGCCTACAGCATCACAAATCAGATATATGCCTTGACTTTCCACCTGAACCAAGCATCAGGTGACAGTGGCATTGATATAAAATGTGAAACAGACAAAGCTACAGATGGGGCTTCTGTTTATATTGGCTGTGAGTATGACTCAGTATTATTGTACAACATTTTATTTTGGAGTCTTAAATATGTCTCATTAACAAATACTGCCTGTTTTTTTTTTTAAATATATATATATATATATATTTGCCACAACTAAGACCCACCTGGTGACAAGGATCTTCAGTGTGAAACCCGAGACTTGGAATCAGTCGAATGTCACTGGAATGTAGGAAGAAAAACACAGTTATCGGTCAGGAATGCAACAGTTTATCAGCTACTTGGAAGGTAAAAAAAAACTATACCTGCTCACCGACTGTATAATTAGAAATGGACGTAGTCTGTGTGACGTCCTCCACAGGTTTCTGTGTGGTTCTGTGGTCAGCTCTTACTATCTATTGCCAGTTAGCTATTGGCAGTCCTGACTCTGGGTATTTATCATCTTCATCATCTTTATCTTAGAATGGGCCGTTTTTATCAACAGAGGGAACATGTCTTCTTCTGGTGGAGTCCGCCATGTTGAACTGCCATGTTTCTACAGTAACCCAGGACAGACAAACCAAACACTGACGCTAACCAGGGCCTAGTTAATTTTTTTGTGCGTTTCTGGGCCACCATAGTTTCTCCTTGGAAGGGAAGGGTGAAGCAAAGGTATTGCAATATGAAACTGCAGCACTAGATGGCACTGAATCCTACGCACTATTCTTTTAAGTAAAAACAAGTTTCCGAACTTGGATCAGTGAATTTTGGAGCAAAAATCAGGATAAAAAATTAAGCTTGCCGAATTGATCAGTCACATGATACAAGACAGATAAGCTGTGAGGAGTGACAACAGTAACAGCTTCAATCTACCGTCTGGAAATGTTAAAGAGAGGAATTAAAATCAGACAGATGTTTTCTAGTCAAGTAAAATATTCCAATAGTATACATTTAAATAATGAAGCATTTTTTAAATTTGTAATTTTAAATTCATGGCATTTCTTTCGTTGTTATTTGAGGTAAAGAATTAAGTATATAGCTCTGTATTGAAGTAAAAGTTACATTCTCTTGTATTTCAGCCCATGTCTAGATGGGTCTAAGGCGACATGCTCTCAAAAAGTACAAGTGGATGTTGGTGAGAGAAACTGGACGCTGACAGCAAAAAATAAGCTTGGGAGGGTTGAGCTCTCAGACAGCGCAGATCTGACCAAAAGAGGTATGTATTTATAAAGATTAACATTTTCTTGTGTCAAAATTTGCTATTGATACTTATTATCTGATTTTATGTTTGTTTCTTTTGTTTCAGTGCACATGCACGCTCCAGTGAGAATGAAGGCTTCAACCGTGAACGCCAGAAATGTCACCCTGGAATGGGAGTGGACGGTGCACCAGTACAATAATCTCAATATAACATGCCAAGTTAACATTAGCCATAGTGGCACAAATACCCCAGTGAGTTGACAATAGAAGGAGGGTGAGACACAAGCAAGGATTTTAAAGTAAGATCTTTCTCTGATCATTGTTTTTGTCCATATAGTGGTTCCAGATGAAGAACTTTGGAGTTGGCCTTGATTTTGCAGTTTTAAATGACTTGATACCAGATTGGAATTATAATGCAAGGGTACGATGTGGTACAACACAACATTTCTGGAAATGGAGTGAATGGACCAGTATCAGCTTCCACACAAAGGGTGATGGTAAGTATTGAAAAAAAAAAAACAATTTTAAACAATAGAAAACAATATTTAACTGATATTGCAAAGGCAATAGATACTCTTCACATTTTCTGGTCACTTATTTGTCCCACAGTTCCAGATGCTCTTGATGTGTGGATGCAGGTGAAGCATAACCAAACTATAATCACTTGGAAAGTAAGTCAGATGAGTGGGAACTACTTTCTTATATGTTGCTTTTCATAAATCCTTTTAAAATTGTAATTAATGGTGAATTCCTCATTCCCTAATACTTTGTAGATCAGTTATAACCTGTTAATAAGAACACAAATTGGGTTGCCAAGTTGTGAAAAATGGCTCTGACTCTCTTAATACATCAAGTCGACCTCTCCAATTGACCATAAACCTCTGACTCTGAGTGCTGTGGACAAAAATCATCACAAGGTATTGTTATTTGCAAGCTGAAGTGACTGTTTGTCATAGTTGCTGAAATCTTCACTGTGTCATGACAGTAGTACATGAGACTGGAAAAATCAGGTTCCTCTAGCTTGATCTAGTGCTCGTAATGGCAACAATAAACCGGCCTGTACTAAAAACAACAAACATAGGGGATGGGGATTTTCTCATTTTGTACATTGCTGCATCTAATTTAGAAGCTGATTTGTCATATTGTTTTGGGTGAACATCAAAGTACGAGTCGCAACACTCTCGTCTGTTTAAACAGTTTTATCTGATTTTGTCAAGTTGAGTCTAAAGTGATCAGATTTGTCCAAGTCATATGATGCCTCTGCTTACTAACATTGAAAACTGCAGACTTGATGGCTTGTTAGGAAGGATGACATGTTACTCTTAGTTAATGACTCACTAGCCCGAGGAATTTTTCACATTGTGGCAACCCAAAAGTTGTTCTAATGAATTTCTCAAATACAAACTTCAAATGATTAGAACATGATTTATTAACCATAAAAGCTATTGGTTACAATTTATAAACTCTTAAAGGAAGTGGTGTTGATGAAGGCATGATCTCCTGCTAAAGTCCTGATGTTACCTCCCTGCAGAAACCACTGGCCAACCAGAGTCATGGACACATCAGAGACTATGTAGTGACCTGGGCAAAGACCACAGAGATACCACAAAATAGAACTGTGCCTTACTACAAGCACAGACTTGAACTAAATCTGGACACCACTGAAGAGTACATCGTCACTGTTACAGCTAGGAATATAAATGGCAGCTCATCCCCGTCAACCATCACAATCCCCAGCCTAAATCTAGGTATGAAACTACGCATATGACAGTGAGAAGAATGCCTGCATTAATAACAATGTTAACAAAAGGCCAGCTAACTAACTCACAACACAATAATAGGTTAATCCTATTACACCAACATGCAAAACACAGTTCAATATAAATAAAATGTTCAACATACTTAAGTAATGGTGTGTGATCAGTGTGTTTTTGAGTGTTTTCACATTATTCATTTATTATCTAGTGGAAGAAGCTTCAAAGGACATGCCAAGAATGTCTTTAAATGCTTTAAAGAGACATACAAGAAAGTTTGTAACAAAAGATTTATGAAATTAGGATGCTTTTGAAGGAAGCGGGTCCTCTTCTACGGAGTCCGCCATGTTGAGCCCCCATGTTTCTACAGTAACCCAGAACGGACAACCCAAGGGGACAACCAAGGGGTTTCAGTTAGTTGCAGGCTGCAATCTCAGCTCTAGATGCTACTAAATCCTACACACTGGTCCTTTAAGATATTATTATGAATAATTACCACATTACCTGCAGCTATGTGTCTGTTCTCCAGACAAAACAGAAAGTGTGAAGACGATCAATGGCAGCAATGGTGGCTTCAGCCTATCCTGGTCTGCCAGTCCTATGGCCAGCTGTGGCTATATATTGGACTGGTGTCCTACCATAGGGGATTGCAGTGTGGAATGGCTGAAAGTGCCTCCTACTGAAACCAGTGGCAGTATATTTTCAAGTAAGTCTTATTCTTTGTCCACAAAACTGTTGCAAATATACAATGTTACATTTCCTTTTGTTACAGTACATCTCTTTTGTTATTTCTCCTTCCCAGAAACGTTCACTGATGGAGTGAGATACTCATTGTCTGTATATGCCTGCACCCAGGGAGCTCCAGTGCTTCTTGAAAGAAGAGAGGGCTATGTCAGGGAGAAAAGTAAGATTGAATTGTTTGACTTTCCTGTGGTGCACTGTTTTCTTAATACATTTGTTCAACAGTGTTTCACCCATGTTACGCTTTGCCAGGAATACCAGACGGCCTGTTTAAATCACTGAAAACAAAACAATGGGATTCAGATGTCGAGATATTCTGGGACCCTATAAATCTAGCAGCGCAGTCTGCTTTTATCCGAGGCTATGTTCTGTATTATGATGACAACAATACAGGACTCACTGTCAGCACAGGTATTGTCACACACCTTATTATTCTGATGTTGCTATGAAAGATACATGCTCTTTCTCACCTTCTGAATCTGCCAACACTCAAAATCAGGACTTTAAAAAGCAAGAATGTTTAATTTGTTTTCATTGACCTCTGGCGGAACCTAGGGTACCGCAGGGTGTATTACTACACTGTAATGTTACTGTAGGGTGTGGTTCCATGGTGCAACAGAGCACCCAACCACACCAATCAGTGATGGTAATCAAAGGTGCAACAGACGGGACATTTTCAACCACATAGACAAATGTGAACTGAGGTCTGTGAATGTGTTTCCACATGATGTCATTCACAATATGCAGAGCTGTGATCCTGAGGGTTCCTTAGAATGTTTATTAGTAACACAATCTCTTGCTTTTGTTTTAGATGATCCTAAAGCCACCAGCCTGAGAGCAAGAAACCTCAATATTAGTTCCTACAAGTTCACAGTGAAGGCAAAGACAGCAGTCGGAGAATGTGGTAGTGAAACTATTACGGTCACCTTAAATACACCAAGTATGTTGCTTCTTTTCCCTTTCAGACCACCGTTTATTTTTGTGTTTCTTGTGAAATAATGGAAACAAAATCAAGTAATGCATTTGTTAGTGTGTGATTGCTGCCAGCTTTTAGCCATAGAAACCATTCAAATGCCAAAATGTTCAGCACTTTAAGGACATGCATGCTTGTCAACTTTTTTCTACTTCTTATATTTTTTTTAATATTAAGCATTTTTTTAAACATAATTTTTACAATGAAAGGAAATGGGGCTACACGTAGCCGCATGGTTCAAATCTACTACTACTAATACTATCGCAGTCTTTACTCCTTCTGCTGCGACAACTGCTACAGATATTACTACTGTTAGTTCTGCTACTTTTACTGCTCATACTGCTACTGCTAGAACTGAACTATCAGTATTCAGTGAAGCTGTGCAGCACAACTAGTAATGGAGTAGTCCTATTTCGAAACCCTTAGCTAACTTTGATTCAGAGATTAATTACACCTGCAGCAGTTTATAATTGTAGTGTCAGTACTTTTCAACTGTAGAACATATTCTCAATGTGGCTTATTTTGTACAAAAAGCCACATTGCATGTGTGTAACATTTCATACAATTCTACCGACAATAGCTCCATGACAATACTAAGTTACAGAGGACAGGAGAGATACAGTACAGAGTTCAGTGCTGTATATAGATCAGTGCTGTTTATTTGATTCAAATAATAGTAATGATGGTAATGGTATTATTGTTATATAGGTCAGTGCTGTAGATACTGGTCAGAGGTCTGTACTGTCTGTTTGATCAATATAATGGGACAATAATAATATTATTAATATTGACTTTTAAGTCCAATAATGTGACACTAATTGTGTGATTGCTGTAAGCGATATTTCTTGAATACAGCATTCTATTATGACAATTATTGTCAGATTTGAATCACAAATACTTCTTGCTGGGACTCTTACAGAGGCTGTGAGTGTGAACAGCAGTAGTGATGGCAGGATTAAATGCAGCAATCAAACACATTTTCTTCAATAAATGCAAATATTCTGGTTTTATCTGATTTACTCTTGTTTCTCATCTGGGCTGTTTGTCTTAACTCACTAGCTGATAAATTGATCCAGCTTGTCATCATTTCCCTGGTCACTGTTTTTGGTCTCCTTTCCCTCATCACTATCATTTGCTATAGACACTGGGCATGGTAAGCAAGTCAACACAATTTTCTATACAATTTGCTCAATTATTGCATCTGATAGTGCCATTAGTGAGTGCACATTGGTGCCAAATGTTTGTTTGAGATGTATTTTCATGCATTCTTTTCTTCATCCAACAGTATTAAACACAAAGTCTATCCTCCAATCCCAAAGCCAGTGTTGTTGACAGACAAGTGGTTTACGTCACCGGTAGGTTCTCACGACCATGTCTTATGATCTGTTTACTTGTCAGTTGTATACAGACTAGAAACTAAAAGGAAGAGTATTTCTGCTTCTGATGCTTTGATTTTAAACATTCTTTTTAGCCATGCCAGTTGTGTGGCTTAATGGATGGCAATGCTAATCTGTTGGTTGACCACTTTGGCCCAGACTGAAATAACTCTACTGCTGCTGCATTGAGATTTAGTGAAAACATTCATAGAGGACGAACCTTAATGACTTTGATGGCTCCCTGTCTTTTTCTCCTTTGCCACCATGAGGTTGACGGTTATAAATGAACAACAACTAATTGGATTGCCATGAAATAATCTACACACATTCATGTCCCTCTCAGGGTGAATTGTAATATCTCTGGGGATTCCTTTAGCCCAGGGTTTTCAAAGTCAGAGACTGTGGGCCCCCTCACCCCCTAGTCTCCCTCAATTCCTCGATGCCTATTGGATCATGATTATGTTATTTGATCCCATCTACACTCAACAATTGTGCCAAGATAGCCTTATATTGCTATTTGACATAACTCCAGATTACACCACATAAAAAAGGTCTGTCTGCTAAGTGATCTCCTTTTGATAACTGAAGTAATATTTTTTCACTTCCATTCACTGAGTCTCCCCCCTTGGGGAGGCCCACCTCCCACTTTGAAAGCTTCTGCTAGCACCATCATGAGGTCATAATTTTAATTTGTCGAATACTTTGGTTTATAACCATATACTTCCTGATTTCCTTCCTCCAATTATATTCCCATCAACCCCAGTTGTGCTTATGCCTATCAAGACAGTGAACATGGTAAACATTACCTGTTAAACATCAGCATTGCCATTGTGAGCATGTTAACATGCTGACATTAGCATTTGGCTCAAAGCACAGCTGTGCCTCTGCAGTAGCTATAGACCCTTGCTATTATCTTACTATGTTTCTTGTTAGTCCCCCAACTTTATGAAAGTACAACATTAATTGGCGAAATACCTTTAAGATTTGGTGAAATAAGGTTTAGTTTTTCTACTATGGAGCCTCATTGCACACTGAGCTACCACCAATCTATTCTAAAAATGTGATGTGATTTTGTCTGTGTTTCAGGGTGAAAATAGTTTTCGTCCTCTCGTGAATGACTGTCACCACAGGGAAGCAAATAACACCGATGTTGCAGAGGTGCATTCTAACTCACACACACACTCAGCACAGAAAATGCCTTTTGTTTTTCTACAAACTCCTACTGGTTACTACAACCAACCTCTGAAAAACGGCAACCCACCATCACTCACTTTACCCACTACAACCTTCCCATCTCAGCCAGGGTTACCATCTTCTCCATTCAGAAGTACATTTCCTAACCCGTCATACAACCTGATAATGCAGAATGAGGATCATCAGTCAAACCCAAGACCTGAGCTTTTGGAAGATTCAGGAAAAAACTCCAGTGGATATGTGCCTCAGACTGAAGCAGTCACTGTAAATCCACAGAGTTATATGTCCTGTGACCCCACTTACATTTTGCTCCCACAGTCACATTCCAAATAGCAGCTGCATGCACAGCCTATATAATATGTTGTAAATGGGATGACAAATATGATAATGCTGCCAGAAAACGAATTTAAATTTAGTTGCCTTTTCTGTCCCTAGGACATTATATGCATAGCTATGCATGACAACTATCTGTACAATACTTTATACTATTAAGCAAAGTGTCCTGCACTTTGTTCTAATTGCAATTTGAAGAGACATCATATAAAACCTTAATAGAAACTACTTAGAACACTGAAAATATAGGATTTCAGCCCATCCCAACTCTCTAACACTACACTTCACTGGGAAATATTTAGTGATTAGAATCCTTCAGGTTTTTTTTGTGTGTGTGTGTGTCTCAATTTCCATGTGTGACAAATGATGCTACCTCAAAAAGAAGTAGCATCATTTGGGTCCTCTGAAGGCCATGAAGACCAAAAGTAACTTCTCTCACTCATCGGAAAGGATTTCTATGAAATTTGGAGCAGACAACGTAGTAATGGACACATTCTAATGACTTTGGTGATCCTCTGACTACTCATTTAGTAGTAGCAAAGTGTGACATTGGGTTGCGTTTCTCCAAAAGACAATTCTGTTTCCAGCCACCATTGCAGCCTCTCCAGTTCTCTCTGGCATTTAACCTCTGTAGGGTCATTTAAGGGGCCAGCTGACAGAAGTGAATGTTGGATGTTCAAATAGTTTCAGAAAGCCACTCCCCCTAAATATTTGCAACAGGAAACCAATTATCACTGTAAGTAGCTGATGTCATAGACCGCCTCCTTTGTTGAGTGATGTTATATATCATAGATGGCCTCCCTCACTCCTCTTTCAAACCATTGGTTTTTTGTCCAATATCTGACAATGATAACTGATAAAGCAACTTATACTGTGAGTTATGTTCAAAATACTGACTGTAGGGCGCCCGGTTAGCTCAGTGGGTAGAGCTGGCGACCCATGTACCGAGTCCTTGCTGCAGTGGTCCAATACTGACTGTAATGACTTTGCTGAAGCTTTGCCAATGCAGTTGGAATGTGAATATATGTGTGTGCGTGTGTGTAAATAAATTGCAGGAATGCAATTCATATGTGAACTATCTCAAAATAAAAGTTTGTATCTCAAAATAAAATTGTAAAAACTCTCCTGTCTTAATTTTCTCTCTCTCTCTTACAGTAAGAATAAAAACCAAAACCATAAATCAGTTCCACTTTCTAATAGCATACTTTGGAAATCCATTTCCAGCTTGAGCTTAGTAATAATTAAGTAATAAAGAGTTTCGCAAGTGCAGGAAATGCTTTCTGGCATGAGTCACAGTGGCCAGATCAGACATGAATAACTCATAGTAAAACTGAGATACTGAACTGACCCAAATCCACAATATCCTTATAACCATGTACATCTTACATACATAATAGTTAACATAGAAACTAGTTTCAAACAAAATTGGATATATTGTCATTTAAGCAGCACGGAAACAGGACAGTCCGAGGAAGAAGTCTGTGACCCACACAGGTATTGAATTACAAAGTCAAGGTTTAGAGGATACTGCCTCCTAGACATAAGTTCAGCGCTACCATCCGTCCTCAAAACATCTTTAATGCAAACTATAAAACAAACAGGAAATAACCAACAAAACCCCACGACCATAACAGCACGGGCATTTATACTACAGATACAGGGACATTTACACTACAGATACAGGGGCATTTACACTACAGATACAGGGCATTTATACTACAGATACAGGGGCATTTATACTACAGATACAGGGCATTTATACTACAGATACAGGGGCATTTATACTACAGATACAGGGCATTTATACTACAGATACAGGGGCATTTATACTACAGATACAGGGCATTTATAATACAGATACAGGAGCATTTATACTACAGATACAGGGGCATTTATAATACAGATACAGGGACATTTACACTACAGATACAGGGGCATTTATACTACAGATACAGGGGCATTTACACTACAGATACAGGGCATTTATACTACAGATACAGGGGCATTTATACTACAGATACAGGGCATTTATAATACAGATACAGGAGCATTTATACTACAGATACAGGGGCATTTATAATACAGATACAGGGGCATTTACACTACAGATACAGGGGCATTTTCACTACAGATACAGGGGCATTTACACTACATATACAGGGGCATTTTCACTACAGATACAGGGGTATTTACGCTACCGATACAGGGGCATTTACACTACAGATAAAGGGGCATTTATACTACAGATACAGGGGTATTTATACTACCGATACAGGGGCATTTATACTACAGATACAGGGGCATTTATACTACAGATACAGGGGCATTTATACTACAGATACAGGGACATTTACACTACAGATACAGGGACATTTACACTATAGATACAGGGACATTTATACTACAGATACAGGGACATTTACACTACAGATACAGGGGCATTTATAATACAGATACAGGGGCATTTACACTACAGATACAGGGGCATTTTCACTACAGATACAGGGGCATTTATACTGCAGATACAGGGGCATTTACACTACAGATACAGGGGCATTTACGCTACCGATACAGGGGCATTTACACTACAGATAAAGGGGCATTTATACTACAGATACAGGGGTATTTATACTACCGATACAGGGGCATTTATACTACAGATACAGGGACATTTATACTACAGATACAGGGGCATTTATACTACAGATACAGGGGCATTTATACTGCAGATACAGGGGCATTTACACTACAGATACAGGGGCATTTATACTACAGATACAGGGGCATTTATACTACAGATACAGGGACATTTATACTACAGATACAGGGCATTTATACTACAGATACAGGGGCATTTATACTACAGATACAGGGGCATTTACACCACAGATACAGGGGCATTTATACTACAGATACAGGGCATTTATAATACAGATACAGGGGCATTTTCACTACAGATACAGGGGCATTTACACTACATATACAGGGGCATTTTCACTACAGATACAGGGGCATTTACACTACAGATACAGGGGCATTTATACTACAGATACAGGGGCATTTTCACTACAGATACAGGGGCATTTACACTACAGATACAGGGGTATTTATACTACAGATAAAGGGGCATTTATACTACAGATACAGGGGTATTTATACTACCGATACAGGGGCATTTATACTACAGATACAGGGGCATTTACACTATAGATACAGGGGTATTTATACTACTATTTATTGAAATAATAATGTGACTTCTAAAACCAGTTGGTTGCATTAGTGCTGATTAAGGTGTGTCCTAATAAGTACTACTCCTACTATTAAATACTTGTCACCTGTATTTTGTATTTTTTCAGTGTTGTAAAACAATAAAACACAAAAACTTTTAATGGGGTGTGAATACTTGAGTATTGGATAAGTTGTGGGAACATCTGACTTCATTTATCCTTTTCCAAATAAGACATACCTTTGTTAATCTAGTATATTCCATTATTTCCCAATAATCCAATCCTGCTTGATGCAGCTTTCATTGATTCATTATTCATTTCCTCCAGTAAAGTCTCTGCTTCATTATTCACATTTGTTTCTCTTTGTCACTGAAACAGAACACAGAACCATCTCTCTATAAAGCAAGAAATCTTGTGTGTGTGTGTGTGTGTGTGTGTGTGTGTGTGTGTGTGTGTGTGTGGCTCAAATATCTCTGCAGATCAGGATCAGACTGACCTGAGAGTTTCAACATGGCTGCTGTGTGGTTTAAGGGTGTGCAACATCGGCTTTGTATGGACTACAAAGATAGCGTTAATAAATTATTTCATAAATTATTTAAAATTCCGCTAGCATTATCATAGCCACCATAGCCACGTGCGCACCAGAGCCAATCACTGCAGAGCCACAATGTGTAGTGATTGAGATCCTGACCCACCAAACATCCTGGAAAGTGACGAAGTTACGTTTTTCCCTCTAAATTACATAATTATACATAATCACCAGCAGACGGAGAATGTTTTCCGGTGGAAAGTAAACTGATGTCTCGGTCCGGAGGGCTGGCGGTCGCGGTGATTTTTGATTGCATACACTCCGTTTTTCGCCGGTGACAGACGCTGTTTTTCGGACAGAAATGTAACGGAAGAGTCGGTAGGACAGTCGGTAGGACAGACAGGAGGACAGACGCTTCTCCACGTACAGCTGTGGTATTTTTTTTCCTCATGTAAGTTTCCAAAGACAGTTACAGTTACTACGTTACTGTTGTTTGGTCCTGTAACGTTGCTTTGTGGGACATTTCTCTTTATTAAGTTGAGTGAGAGACCTGAGCAGTTATCAGACTGTCTGACCGACACGCCCTCGCTCCTGCGTCCCTGATACTATCTCCAGAGGAGGATCAGGGACGGAGCGAAATTTCCCCCCTCGCCGCATCTGAAACTTTCACACAGAGGAGGGTGCGGAGAATTGGCCTTGCTAAAAGCCAAATTATATGAAAACACAATAGTTATCAATCTACACATTTCACAACAAACCTCAATATCCCTGACGTCCCACCTTCAAACACAACCTCATTTGGCCATCCATGAAAAAGCTACTTAACCTCCCACTTTTCTATAGCAATACATGCTTCCTACGGGCACTGCACTAGTCTTTTAAAAGCACCATGAAGAATATGTAAGGATTTCTGTCAGCACTAGAGGGAGCTAGCACTACATTACTGATGAGAGGATTCTGTGTGGACTGATCTGTAGCACAGTATTGGTTAGTACAGTGGTTCTCAAACTTTTTTATTAATGTACCTCCTTTGAAATATTTTTGACTAGTGCAACACATTTTTGGTAGAATGTACTGACAATTTTTTGTCATCAGGTAGTAACACAGAGATGTCATTTAAGTTGCATTGGACTGCATCTTTTTGATAAGTTGCACTTTTGTGCATTTGTTGCACAGTTTTAAGGCACAGTGCGAGTTAATCGGAAGGTTGTGGGTTCGATCCCCGGTTCCGGGTGCCACATGTCGAAGTATCCTTGAGCAAGATACTGAACCCCAAATTGCTCCTGATACCCTGAATGTGTATGAATGTTAGTTTCTGTTTGATGCACTTTGCCATCACTGAGTAAAAGGGTGAATATGGCACGAAGTGTAAAAATGCTTTGAGTGGACGAACGATTAGAAAGGTGTAACACAAGTACAAGTCCATTTACCATTTACTCTTGATCTTGTACTATCATATCCTTTCCTATCTATATTATTTAATATTAATATTTAATAACTTTTGAATTCATACTATTAGATTATAAGCCATTAGGCAAAACTTCCTACAGCAGATGTCTATCTGACAGTGCTGTAGCTAAATTAAAGGAGGAGATTCCTTCAGTGTTTAATTCAATGCCATGTCGGAATTTAACAGAGTCCTATAACGACTTTAGTCCCTCCAAAATTGATAATCTTGTTGATAGTGCTGCAGGCTCACTACGAAGAACATTAGATTCTATTGCTCCTATAAAAAGGAAATTATTAAAACATAGGAAACTAGCATCATGGTACAACCACCAAACCTGCCAATTAAAGCAAAAAGCTAGGAAATCTGAAAGGAAATGGCGCTCTTCCAAATTATCAGAATATCGCTAAATTTGGCAAGATAATCTTAAAACCTATAGAAAGGCCTTCCGTAATGCCAGAGGAGCCTATTACTCAGCACTAATAGAAGAAAATAAGAATAACCCTAGGTTCCTCTTCAGCACTATAGCCAGGCTGACAGAGAGTCACAGCTCTATTGAGCCACATATCCCCATAAACTTAAGTAACAATGACTTCATGAGCTTCTTCTATAATAAAATTATTACTATTAGAGAGAAAATTAATCACCAACTGCCATCAACAGTTATCAGTGGCTCTCCAAGTTCAGGAACTTTAACTAATGTAAACTCAGATATATATTTAGACTGTTTTTCTGCTATCGATCTTCATCAGTTAACTTCAATAATTTCTACATCAAAGCCATCAAGCTGTCTGTTAGACCCGATCCCAACTAGGCTGCTTAAAGAAGTCGTACCCTTAATTGGCACTTCTTTACTGGATATGATTAATCTTTCTTTATTATCAGGATATGTACCACAGTCCTTTAAAGTAGCTGTAATTAAACCCCTTCTTAAAAAGTCCACTCTTGACCCAGGGGTTTTAGTCAACTATAGACTGATTTTTTAACCTCCCCTTCCTCTCTAAGATTCTGGAGAAAGTAGTCGCCAAAGAGTTGTGTGACTTTTTACATAACAATAGTTTATTTGAGGATTTTCAGTCAGGATTTAGAGTTCATCACAGCACAGAGACAGCTCTGGTTAAAGTTAATAATGACCTTCTGATTGCTTCAGACAATGGACTTGTCTCTGTACTTGTATTATTAGATCTTAGTGCTGCATTTGACACCATTGACCATGATATTTGACTTGAGCATCAAATTGGCATTAAAGGAACCGCACTAAGCTGGTTTAAGTCATATTTATCAGATCGTTCGCAGTTTGTACATGTTAACGATGAATCTTCAATAAATACTACAGTAAGTCATGGAGTTCAACAAGGTTCTGTACTTGAAACATTTCTATTTACTTTATATATGCTCCCTTTAGGCAACATTATTAGGAATCACTCCATTAACTTTCACTGTTATGCAGATGATACGCAGTTATATCTATCTACCAAGCCCGATGTTATTATTATTATTATAAGTATTAATATAGCTACGGTTACTGTTGTTGCTGTTGTCACTGCTCATTGTCCCCCATCGTTGCTGTTGTCATGTTCATCATCATCAGTCACTACTATTAGTGTAGTTGTTGCTACTGTTGTTTCTGTGCACCTGTCTGTCTGTCTGTCTGTCTGTCTGACTCTCTCTCTCTCTCTCTCTCTCTCTCTCTCACCCCGAGACAGACGACCACCCACCTAGAGCCGAAGGATCTGTCCTAGGTTTCTGCCTTTTAACAGGCAGTTTTTCCTTGCCCTTGTCGCCAAGTGCTTGCTCATGGTGGTACTGTTGGGTCTCTGTAAATAATGTTATAAGGAGTTCAATCTAGACCTGCTCTATTTGAAAAGTGTCCTGAGATAACTTCTGTTATCAATTGGCGCTATACAAATAAAATTGAATTGAATTGAATTGAAATTTGAACACAAGCTTGTGCTTCACTGAGGATCTTTGTCCTTATGGATGGCAGTGAGGCAGTGCTCAGCCTCTTTTCTGGAGGTTAACAACACATTGAAAACAGGAATTCTGAATAGGCTATACAATGTGGTTTATCGAACCTTATACATACCATTTATGTTTGAATTGAACTTATAGTATTATTAATTTAGAAATTGTGCATGAGTAAGTATGTACGACTAACAGAAATACATCTAAAAGTATTGGAAATTTGTTTCGATCCAAATTGGAAATTTAAGTTCCTGTTAACTTCTCTGATATTGACTTTGTTTCACCTTACATGACTAAACATTTATAGTAAAAAACCAAAAAGGTCAAGTCCTCCTTGCAGTACAAAGTATTCCCAGGGAACATGTACCCCTATTTAAGAAACACTGGGTTAGTATATTTACTCGTGTTGTATTTAAAGGCAGTTTTGAGTTTCCATTCTATGTTACGTTTAAAAAAGGTGCATGATAAGTTTAGAATATAAAGTGCATCATTAAAGATGAAACCACTGGTTCCCTCGCAACAAAGCAGCATCTAGTTGGAGCCTCATGTTTCAGATGTCTATGAGTTGTTAGCAGTTGCAATAATGTCACATACTGTAATGTATCAGCCAATTTTCTGCTTTTACTTTCACTTCTAGCACTTTAAGTACATTCTACTATAACAATTACTTTTACTTAAATACTTTTACTTAAGTCAAATTTAGAATGTAGAACTTTTACTTGGATTGATACAGAAAATTTCTGACTTCTATATACGGCACTCAGCCCCAAGCCCATTGTTCCCTGCTGAAGACATAAACCTTTAAAAATGTTTCACAAATATATAGTTCCATTTAAAGAAAAAAAAAATTGAGCAACTGAGCACTGTAGTTTTTAACAAATGTCACTCAAACTGAAGCCAAAGGTTGCATTCGGGACTATTTTCAGTGGCAGATTAATCCACATTTGTTGCTTTAGTGAGCATTTGGTACAGCAGGGCATTGTATGTGGGATTGAGTCAAAATAAACTGCTGTGTGTGTTCATTGTAATGAAGGAACAGTCACCAAGTGCAAATGTGTAGCTCACTGATGTGTTTTTAATAGTTGTTAGACAACAATGGAGCTCTCTATTTGTTGACAATAAGAAATATAGAATATTGCCAGACTCATCTTTCAGGATCGAGACTCAGTAAACTCCACCTGTGAGGAAGTGGGTACTTGAGAAATAAATAAATAAAGGCTTAATGCACCAGTCCTGTTGTGGCAAGCAACTTAACTTGCTTGAGAAAACAACGCACATATGTGAGTATTTATAATCTCAACCAATCCTTTGCTGCAGGTTCATGTGATGTTTCTCCGTGTTCAGTCATCATTCCCTAGACTCATGAAGCCTGAACATTATGTTTTTGTATTTAGAACATGTGCAGATTACTTTATGTTTGGAAGTTTCAGATTGAAAGTGGTTTAAAATATGAAGAGTTAACTCTTTCATTCTCCTCTTTTTCTTTTCTCTTCTAGTCAGTCTGTCTCTCTCTCTCTCTCTCTCTCTCTCTCTCTCTCTCTCTCTCACACACACACACACACACACACACACACACACACACACACACACACACACTCTGTCTCTCTCTTTCTCTTCCCCAGTATGATGTCATCAGGCCTGTTTGTTCAGATGATGTCATGGCAGCTGATAACTTTCAGATGTGAGTGAGATTTTTTCCATTACACTCAGAGGACTCTTCCCCCGAACAGCCAAATAACCTCGGAGTGAAGTCACTTTCGCTTCATGCGCTGTGTTTCCATTCAGAAGGTCAGTTTACAGTCTGACACTCAGTGTGTCGCACTCTGACACCATTCAGATGATTTTTGCTCTGCTTCTATGCTGGACGCATTTACTTTGTTGTCTTGTTGCCTTTTTACACTTCGGTTTGATTCAGTATCAATGTACACCTTTTCTCGTTTTAAGGACCAGTTTATTTGGCTCATTCTAAGGTCACAAAAACAATAGATCCTCCTCAATGTTACACACTGGACCTTTAATATGGCAGCAGCATGCGGTTTCCTCTGTCTCTGTAGTTTATTATCTTTATACACTTTGTTGGTGAACAAGGACGTCACAAAGTCACATGTCAAATTTCAACAATAATAAACAAAACTGAATTCAAACAAAATGTGTGTTTTTCATTTTAAGATCAAACTGATGTTCTTCAGTTCCCTTGTTTTTTCAAACATGTTTCCCTCCAAGGCAGGACGACTCATCTCATCTCTGCATGGACAGTGTGTGTGTGTGTGTGTGTGTGTGTGTGTGTGTTTGTGTGTGTGTTTGTGAGTGTGTGTGTGTTGGCTGCTCCACCTACAGTGAGAACTATAATTACTTTGCCCTGCCAAAGTAAACACACTGATCTGTCATTACACACACACACACACACACACACACACACATACACACACACACACACACACACACACACACACACACAGTAGTAATTTGTTGGTTGGTCTTCAGGCAAAATATGTGGACAATCAATAATCAAATATTCATATTCCAAATGGCTTGTTCAGTGACCCTCCGCGTCTGTTACACTGGAGGTATCTCTCAAGCATAATTTGTGCACAAGCAGGGCTCTGTGGTCAAGTCAGCAATAAATATACTACGAAGACATCGTAAGTTATGTTATGTCTCTCACGTCACTTCAGTACATTATGTACGTATGTTATTTCAAAGAAATCAGCGGCCTCCAGGCATACAGGGAGGGGATCATGTGTTTGGTTGTGTGTGTGTCCGTGTGTGTATCTGTCCACAGACAATAGATCCTCCTCAGTGTTACACACTGGACCTTTAACCGTCCAGTAGCGGCTCCAAGTGATCAGCAGCTGCTTCAGTTTGGAACCTGGTTTCTGCGGTCTGCCGGTCTTGTTAGTTTTCACTATTTTGGGATTGACGGGGTTAGTCTCCATATAGCCTGTGTACTCTGGTCACACCTCGATAATGTGACCTGCATATTGTCTCTCCTTTATTCAACCGCTCATGCATACACACTGGACACACAGCCTGCCCTGCACTCCCTGGTCCTCAGATCTTCCCTCTTCCAATTTAAGTAATTTAGTTGAACTTGAGTGATGGTAATTTAATCATTTAAATACACTAAAAATAATCAAAGCAACACAGAAAAGCAAAAAGTAATATGACATTTCAAACATGGCCCTAAATAAATGACTTCATTAGAAATGTGTTAATAATCTAATAAAGAAAACGTCAGAGTGAGTCACTATGATGGAGAGAGAGAGAGAGAGAGAGAGAGACTGTACACACACACACACTCTCTCTCTCTCTCTCTCTCTCTCTCTCTCTCTCTCTCTCTCTTTCTGACTCACTCTGTCTGCTCTCGGATCGGTCAGCAGCTCTCTGCGTCTCTCTGTGAGTATGAACCTTTATCAAACATTTTAAGAGTTCAGATGGACGTCCAGACGATGTGTTCGGCTGTAAAGCGGCTGTTTCGGATGGAGCCATTCGCCGCTTCTGGTCGTTAGTTAGTCCGGATGCATGCGCTCATCCATCGGATCGCGCTGCTGTTCTCTCCCGGTGTGAAGTTAACGGCCGTACCGGGAACTTTAACGCGTTTACAGCGGGGTTGAACATCTGATAGAGGAGTGGAGAGATCAAACTGTTTCTATATTGAGAGGTTAGCACTGTCTGTCGAATTCAACCTCTGAAGGAAACTAATGATTAATGATTGTTTCTTATTCATAATGGGCTGTGGAATGATGTGATACATATGTATCTGGTATATCATTATATATGATTGGATTATTATTGTTGGGTTAACATGTAAGCAGTATTTTAATGTTGTAACACTGTTGGGTTGTATAACAATTTTATGAACTGATCATTTGCTTTGTGTGTAAAATGTATCTGCAAAGCAACTCCTGCTGTCCAGTAAATGTATATATAGTATAAAGCACAGTGCATTTCCCTCTGAAGTGTATAGTAGAAGTATAAAGCAACAGGAAACAGAATTATTCAAGCAAAGTACCTCAGAACTAGACCGATAAACTGGCCAGCCTTCATATCTTCTGATATCACCTTATTGAATACAAACTGTATCAGAATTGGTGTATCTAAGTTTTTGGAGGTCATTTAGAAACAGTATTGCAGTTACATCGTTTGTCCACCAGAGAGCACTGACAAGCAGTGGTGTGTCATATGAGCTTTTAAAATATATTCTGCAAGATATTTATGCAATAATAAGAATATTTATGGCAATATGAAAAAACATCTATAAAAAAGTTATACAGTCCGCTCCTGAACTGTGTCTGTGTTTCATGGTGGACTCTTTTGGAGGAGCAGTCAGAGTTGTGGTTCTTGATCCAAACTGAGCAGCTGTACTGTTGTTAGTCAGCCAACTTCAGCTCATCAACTGGATGCAGCTGGTGACTGTCACACTAACTCCAACCTGGTGTTTGTGCTCCTCTGCATGTGCGGTGACATTTTCTTTACACTGCACATCCCTACCTAAATGTGAGTAATGAGCTGTTTATGTCATAAAAACCTGTGTGTGCTGGAGTATGTGTGATTTGTTGTGTGATGTAGCCTCAGACAGCAAATAACTCACGTTGCCTGTGTCTTGGCCAAAAAGTCAACTAGCTCGTACGTTCTGTGCCTGCGCATGAGGCAAAAACTGGATTATAGTGGCGGTAGTCTGCGTTCCTCATTTAAAAAAGAACATGGGAAGACCTGGGAATGCAGATATAAACAAAAGCACTCGGTTTGAGTGGTCTCACCCAGTCGGTTTTGTAAAACAGCTGCTTGTTGTTAAAATATTGGTATATCTGAGTGGTCGGATAAGATGAAATTGAAAAATGAGATAATGCTTTCCTGCGTGCCACTTTTAATGAAGTCGTCACTTCCATTTCTCTTCTCGTGCCCTGATTCAATAAAACTGAACAGCCAGTCAGAGTAATTTCTTCCACCGATGGTCTCCGCTGCACGTGCAGCAAAGGGCCACAGATTGGAGTTGAACCCCTGGCAAGGAAGCCTTGGTACATGTGGCGCCAGCTCTACCAGGTGAGCTACCAGGGCACCCAAGAAGTAAATTATTTATATTTAACATACATAAATTCACTTATTATTAACTTATGTAGCCAACTTAAGTTGTGTCAGGTGCATTACATAAGTTAAGTTTTACTAAAGTTATGTCAGGTACATAACGTAGCTTACGATTACATTTTCCTAATCCTAACCGAGTAGTTTTGTGCCTGAACCTAACCAAACTGCAACCTTGTCACAACATAAAGCATGCAAGTTTAATTTTGAAAGTCCAACCAGATGTTTGTTATTTACTATTGCGAACTTGCTATGCACGTTGGAGGGATACCTACAGCGACATATTTTGAAGCAGAGCTCATTGACCAAGTGGCAGTATCTGAGTGAGTGAGCAGCAATGATACTTTTGTATTCAGTCATGTGTGTTGCTGCTGCACATATAAACGTCAATATGCACAATATTGTTAATATCATGATGTGATATGCCATCATCAGATTTTTTAAAACTGTTTAATTTTGGTCAGGCTATACTCAGAATTATACTTAAAGGTAACGAGGTTTAGAACATTAATTTAGCAGCAAATATAATGTATAGACAGAGTGAAGTTATGGTGTCCTGAGCAAGAATGGCATCACACTCCTGTGTGTGTGGTTCTCCAAGCTGTTCTGTGCTTTGTTTATACAGCCGTCCCGGCTGTGCATGTTTGCGCATGTGAGTCCCTCCGTATGAAACTGTTGGCTTTGAGTGTTTGTTTTCTCATCACTGTCGATGAATTAATGATTTATTTCGACCAAACCAAAGTAAGTGATTGTTGGAACAGTGGAAAGACTAACAGAGACTGTTTAGTGAGTTTAATTTTGTTTCTCTCCACTTTAAATGAAGTTATAATGTTACGATGATCAGCAAGGCCAATTGCAGGTTTTGGTGGTGAGCGATAGCTGTTTCTGGTTAAACAAAAAGGAGCTTGCTCTTTAACAAAAAGGTCCATCTCTGTAGAGATCCTTTCCATAATGTTGTCAGACTCTTAATAATAACAATCTGAGCCTGTCAGTGGCAACAACAACAACTTTCAGTCGACGTACTTTGACAGGCATATTTGTTCCCAAGGATTAGTTAAGGTTACATTGTAGCCATAGCATAGAATATTTTTTCATCTTACTCCGTGAAGTAAGGGTTTATTTTAACAAAACCGGTGTGGAAAGCCTAACAAGGACCTATATTGTGTTAGTGGACTCCTGACTTTGTACTCAGGGTCCACTATGGCTTCTTCCTGAGCTTTCAACTACATCCCCTTCAGTTAACCTAACTGTCCCATTTGAAAGACTAAATTCAACTGACTGAGATAGAGGGATAACAGTGAAACTGACAGTAGTATACAGCAGAGCTTTATTGTCCAATCAGGTCAATCTCACCTCTCACACACAATATATACATAACATATACAGAAATACACACACACATACAGCAGTAGTATCAGTAGTCTTAACACCACCTCCCAGTTTACACCTAAGTAATCTTTCAGTCCTCCTCATCCTCTCACAGACATGTTTGTTTTTCCTGCAGGCGCACATCTTCTCTTCTTCTTCTTCTTCTACTTCTTCTCTTCTTCTCTTCGTCCTGCCTTCATCCTCCAGCCGCCGACGTCAGTGGAATGTTTCAATCCCTTCTGATATTCAGGTTAATCTGATTATGAAGATTCCCTCTGAGACGCCCCTTTGTCAATGACGGCCAAGATGGAGACTCCTTTCTATCACGATGACTCCCCCACCATCCCCGGCTACAGCCAGATCGCAGAATACGAGCGTTACCAGGGAAACAAGATGCTGATGAGTAAGAAGGCCATGTCAATGGCGGGCAGTCATCACTTTGGCGGTGGTGCAGCGGTAGGGAGGGGCGGGAACCCCAACAACCTGGGGCTCACTGGCAACAGCTCCCTGATGACATCAGCCGCGCCCTCCGCGGACATGAACCTGCTGAAACTTGGGTCCCCCGACCTGGAGCACCTGATCATCCAGTCCAACCAGGGTCTGGTCACCACTAGCCCTGTGTCCAATTCCACCAACCCGTTCATGTACCGCAACCAGGCCACCAACGAGCAAGAAGGATTTGCTGATGGCTTTGTCAAAGCGCTTGCTGACCTTCACAAGCAGAACCAGCTGGTGGGAGGCGGCCCCATGTCCCCGTCTTCGTCCTCCACTGTCTCCCTGCAGGCGTCCTACCAAAGGAACCTGATGTCCAGTGGGGATATGCCAGTCTACACCAACCTCAGCAGCTACAACCCAGGTCAGATGGTGTACACTGGAGCACAGATGGCATACGGTAGTGGTTCGGGACATGGTGGTGGCGGAGCCCCTCAGCATCACGCCCGAGGCCTGGACACCCCTCAGACCGTCCCTGAGGTGCCTCACCCGGCGGGCGACCCCACGTCGCCACCTTCCCTCTCCCCGATTGACCTGGAGACGCAGGAGCGAATTAAAGCGGAACGCAAGAAGCTCCGCAACCGCATTGCCGCATCCAAGTGCCGCAAGCGGAAGCTAGAGCGGATCTCACGGCTGGAGGAGAAGGTGAAGGTCTTGAAGAGCCAGAACTCTGACCTGGCCTCCACTGCTGCCATGCTGCGGGAGCAGGTCGCTCAGCTCAAACAGAAGGTCATGAGTCACGTGACCAATGGTTGCCAGATCGCCGTCGGATCGGCCACCAAGTCCAGCGGCGGAGGTGGGGGCACCGCCAGTGAGGACTCCAGCTGCTGAGGTGGCGGGACATGGGGTGTGAAAATAAGCCGAGAAGCAACGGGTTTACTTTTACGATTTTGGCGTTTCGCTCGCACTCTCGGTCAGAGCGAGCAGAGAGTGAGGTGTCAACGACTCCTCAGCAGGACAGATGGATGTTTAACGGGATTTATGTAGCCCCGTAAACAACCGTCAGTCAGCCAGCCAGCTTAAAGAAGAGAAAAGAGACAGGAGAGATAAGTCCCTGAAGTTCAAATTTGGATAATTTGAATGTTGACTAGGATTTTTTCAAAGACATGGTGACAGATTTCATTTGAAGAGACTGTTTAGAAGCAGGGTTTGACATGTTTGAAGAGACACTTTTATTGGACAGGTGAAATGAATTTATGGACAGACTTTCAAGTTTCCGGTACAAAAGATTTTGTACGGTTTGAACAACTCATGACAATATTCTTTGTTTTCAGATTACATCTCAGTTAATAAAGTGTACTGGAAATTGTGGGAATTATTTCCCAGCAATGATTATTATTATTTTTTTCATTTTTAGTAAAAACATTGTTTGAATAAATCACATGTTAAAATTAAAATTTTTTTTACAGTGAAGATAACAATTTATGTGGAAAACAGTATCAAGTAATCTGATTACTTTAAGCTACAGAATGAGGGCTGTAATTTGAATATTCTTGTCATAATTTCCTATAATCAGTGTTTTCAAATTTACAACAGCTGATGCTGCAGTTTGTTCTGTAATCTGGTTACAGTATTCTTTTTACTTTTTACATCCAACTGTGTTTTAATGCACCTAAAACACTTAAGAACACCTCCACTTTGACAACTCTGTTTTTACAGTAACTCTTCATGGTAACTGTGATAGATTAATGTAATTTGATTACTACAATCTCTTGTCTGTAACTGAAGTTCAGCTATGGTTGGTAATAATCCAGTGACTTTTCAATCGTGTTTCTGTGTTTTCTGTCTGTTGCTGCTGGAAGTCAGAAAACCTTAAAAATTGGAGTTTGAAGTTCTGTCGTTCTGTTCTTCTGGTGGAAACTTTTCTCACTTTCTCTGGATCTTTCGGGAATCAGGACTGAAGGGAAATGTTCAATTTCAGATCTGCCGGTGAGGACGACTACATGTGGTTTGAGTGTGGAAAGCAGACTCATGTTTACTTTAATCTAAATCAATGAGAGTTTTAATCTCTCATTTAGATTGAGATTTTTTACTTTTCAACTTGTGGAATAAAATCCTGGTATGGGGAAAGAATTTCACTTCCGACAGCAGTTTAAAAAAAACTTACGTCTACATATTTGACTGGTTGTTTACATTGATAGTTTCTATAGCAGAAGAAATCGTAAATGAAGACGAAAAATAATGCTTCATATCTCATTTTTTCTCATTTCACATAATATTGTGCAAACCTAATATGACTATTGAATTATATTTATTATTTTGATAATAATAATGTTAATACTTGTTATTCCTTTACCTACAGTACACAGTAAAAAGTATCATTTCATAACTCAATTTATTTTGTTATGTTTCTTGCAGGTTTGTATGGAAGCACATTTCTGTCAAGGAAAGAGAAAAAGATGAAATGTTAGGAATGATGAAAATAAAAATACTCATAATCCTATATGTCAGAATTTGAACAACTATTTTGTCATTTTGACTAAAAAAAATTAAACTTTATTTTTTACTTTACCTTGCTTTCTTCCTCCCTGGCAGTAATGGGCTTCCACAGGTTAAAGACTTAATAAAAGGCAGAACAGTATCTCTGCCGCTGGTTCTAGTGTACAGTACATTCCTTATGGAAGTTGATTTTGTTTACGCGAACATTTTCTCAGGGGAATATGATGTGTTCCACCTGCTTTGGTAAGAAAACACCTTTAAGACTCCATTTCAGGTTAAATTACTTAATAACTTGGATATATTTTTGTAGTGTAAAAAAGACAGAAAGAAAGAAAGAAAGAAAGAAAGAAAGAAAGAAACAAACAAACAAACAAACAAATACACAAAACAAAAAACTAACAGAAAGAAGCAGAGCTCTAAAGGCAAGCTGTGGTCCTTATGGGGTTCTTGAGGTCTATGAGGATATTTCGGTGGTTCTTGAAGGAGCTCTGATGAGGTTGTAGAGGTTTCTGAAGGGGTTTCTGAAGACCTTGATGAGGTTTTAGAGATCTTTGAGGGGGTTTCAAGTCCTTTAGGAGGTTGTAAAGGGCCTTGAGGGGGTTCCTGAGGTCTGCCAGAAGTTAGCAGAGGTCCTTGAGGAGGTTAAAGAAGGCCTTGGGGATGGAGTAACGGTCTTAAAGGAGGGTCCTTGAGAGGTTAGTAGAGGTCCTTGAGTAGGTTCCTGAGGTCCTTGAGGAGGTTGTAGAGATCACTGAGTGAGCTCACCGCCAACAGAGACTGAAGCATCAGTACTGTTGCCATGGTTACCTGCAGTGTAGTGTAGTTTAAGGTCTGATTTAGAACAGTGGTTCAACTGTACTATGTTTGAAAAGTCCATATAAGATTTTAGCAGACACCTGTCAGCCAATCAGAGAGCAGGATATTGTGTTACTGTGGTATAATAAAAACACTCACTTTTGAGAGTGTGATATTGTTCAATAACTGCACATTTTCTTTTGGATTTTCTCACTTTACTCAAGTTATTTGTCTGAATACACCTCAGATTTATGGTGAAAAAACTGACAGATCGGCCCTTTAATATCTCAGTCCACGGGCAAATTCACTAAACAAAATAAGTAGACGTGTTGTTGTTAATGCAGTGTGATACTAATGATCCCTTTATTTTTTTGTCCAGTCAGCACTTCTGTGTTATGTTACAGTTTGTAAATTGCAGATAGAAAAACATGTAACTGCAAAGAAAGGAAATAAATCAGATTGTTTATGAAAATATAAAGCTCTGCTATTCTACAGACAGTAGTAGAGTTTAAACTGAACATTAATACTCAAGTATAAAAACATAGTTTCAGTTGCAGTTATGTGTTTTCTGTCTGACAAATGAAGACTTTCAAAAATACTGTTGGTGATCTTGGAGCAAATATTTATTTTTTTTAACATGAACGAGACTTTTGACGTCTCTGATGATTCTATTTTTGTACAAATGTATAGAAATTGCTGTTATTAATATTCCAAAATGATGTGTGTGTATGAGCTGTTCACTTTATGTCTCTATTTATTATGAATATCTTTTGTTATACAGATGTGTGTTTATTTCCCTCGCACTGTTCTGCTGTGTTGAGATGTTCGTGTCAGTATATCAGTGATGAAATATTTGCCTGCTGCTGCTTCGCTGTCTGTAAATTCAGAGTTGGAGTGAGGGGTTTTCCACGAGATTGTGGCCACTTGTTGTAAAAAAGTGCACTTTCCTAAATGCATTTTAGCCAGGGATCAAACATTTCATAAAAAGGATGAAAAGCTCAACAATCAAAATGTAATTTCTGTGTTGAAACTGCCATCATTTCAGGTAAAACAGATGTTGGTTTCATGTTGAGAAATTCGGGGATTGTTGTAATTACAAGGTACATCCTACACTTCCCTTTTAGGAAGCTTCCTAGTTTTGTTTTTGCTGTAAAATGAGACACTCGACAGAATGAATCCTGGTGAATCCTTAAACCTGCAGAAAAGACATGTAGGTATGACTGTAATTACAGTGAAAACACTTCTTTGTTAGCAAGGCTGGAGCCAGAACATTCCAGCCAAATGTCACACAAATAGCAACGAAAAATGTGCAGGTGTAACATCCTGAAAAGGCAGAGAATCAATAAAGATGTCCACACACGATGTTCACTCTCTGGCATCTTTATGAATATATTTCTGAACAGAAAAACATATTAATGAAACAACGCAAGAACAATGATGTTCATAATAAGACTATGTTCACTCTGATTGTTCTGTCCTTCTGTTCTTCTGGTGGAAACACTTTCTCTGGATCTTTTGGGAATCAGGACTGAAGGGAAATGTTCAATTTCAGATCTGCCGGTGAGGACGACTGCATGTGGTTCGAGTGTTGAAAGCAGACTCATGTTTACTTTAATCTAAATGAATGAGAGTTTTAATCTGTCATTTAGATCTAGATTTTTAACCTTTTAACTAGTGGAATAAAATCCTGGTGTGGGGAAAGAATTTCACTTCCGACAGCAGTTTAAAAAAAGTTGTCTACGTATTTAACTGGCTGTTTACATTCATAGTTTCTATAGCAGAAGAAATCTTATTTCTGAACAGAAAAACATATTAATGAAACAACGCAAGAACAATCATGTTCATAGTAAGACTATGTTCACTCTGATTGTGAAAATAACTGAATTATCTCAGTGTATACAGCTCCTTTAAATGTCCAGTTGAGTAACATATGAATGATCCAAGAAATGTCATTAATTACCCCAGTAACCAAAGAAAATGGTAGCCTATACACATTTCCCATGAGAGCTGACTGGTATGTGTCTGCTGTTTCTACAAATAACTCAAATAACCATTACTTTCTACATCTACATTAAATGTGATATAATGCATTCATGACATATAGTATATAAATGCATCTAACACAACAGTTCAAAATATCAACATGTACATCAGCCATTTTTAGAGGATAGCATATGTAGCTACCATCAGTGGCTGAATGTTAATTTTTAGCAGGTTGGATGGCCCAATACTGACCTTGTCAGAGTAGCAACACGTGAAATGATTTACAAACACATTGCAATGGATCTTTGAGTTTGGCCGTTAAACCAATGCCATCAAGGATAGAAACCTTGCGACAGTTAAAATAGAAAGGTTGTGTCAAAATGAAATAATTTTCAATAATTTGTCAGTTATAGGTCTAGGTATAGGATGGAGTCTGGGTCCGGACACCGACTGCGGTCTACTTATCAGTCAGCTTGGTACTAAAGGATGGTGAGGGTGGTTGTCAGGTTAACGACATCTTCCCTCAATTCGCCTAGCTACCACTGATTGTCAAGCTATGGTAACTTTAGCTGTCATCTATCAATTGTTCATTATCAGAAATGTATAAAGTACACGTGATAGACATATTTTACCAGCATTTGGCTGATGGCTGGTACTAAGTTTTGTCCTGACTGTCACTAAGGATGTTCAGCAAAAGTAACATACATTCATAGAAAAAGAGAGAGAGATAGAGCGTGGAGAATCACAAAGGCAAATCTCCCTTCTAAGACAATCCATACATTTATATATATAAGATACATGGGTTATCATACAATTCAATTCAATTTCAATTTTCTATTTTATTTGTAAAGTGCCAATTCATAACAGAAGTTATCTCAGGACACTTTTCAAATAGAGCAGGTCTAGACCGAACTCTTTATCACTTCATTTCAATTCAGGGACAATGCATTTTAGCATAGAACAATTTGGTGCGATTCTATGTGATATGATCCAATCTGTAAGTCACTGCTGTCCGACACATCTTACAAATGGATAGACTTATCCAACTTTCCTTTCTTCTTATAAAATCCAAATGTCTTCCAAACAAACATACCATCTACCAGTTCATGGTACATTTAGATTGATCCAGTTGCCTGCGTAGCTATGTAGTTGCATCCATAACGTTAAAACCAATTTCCGACTTGAATCGGTAAACCTTTACGCCTATATAAATAACGCTGCACCATAAAGTTGTTTAAAAAGTATTGGTCAGTAAAACTATGTTTATGTTAGCGACCTAGCTGTTAGATAACATTTTAATTCCCTCCCTTGTTTAGACTGTTGGGAAGAATGAAAAGTAATCCCATGATCTAATACTTGTGCAATTGTCTATTGGCTTGACAACAGTGTTTACTGACCAAGTTGAGTTGAATTGGTTGAGGCTACCAAGATTGACAGGTCATCGCGGTGTGCAGATAACAGTTGGTGTCCAAAAATGTCCAACATGCTCTTGATGACGTAATATTCCGATTCCCTATAGCTATGACGTCTGTGAACACTAAACTCTTTAGATTTATGCATTTAGCTGAGTTTCACAAGAAAAGAAAGAAAGAAGCAACCGCTGTGAGAGCTCCCCCTTCTGGACGTCTGCAGATATAGCTAATCAATCAACAATAACATCTCCTGACAGCTACTAGGTAGATGAGCTTCACTTTAATTAAAAATTCATATTATGTTTTCATGGAGATTATTTCCTTCCTCTTTGCTCACATAACCTGATGCTTTTAACCAAATAATGATCTAAACAAATGATAATTTTCATCTCATCTCAGTAATAGTTTTTAACCATTTTAACCTGTATTATTTATATAATAAAACTACAGTTCATCTATCACATCACAGAGAGGAAAAAACACCCAAAAGGGTTTATTAATTAACTGTACTGAAATAATATCAATTATTAAGATAATAAAACAGAGACTTTTTAAAATACGCTCTGTAGGAGTTTAAGGAAAACATCATTTTAACCAAACAGGAAAAAGAGTTCCTGTCTCTGACTGAACCTTGACTTCTGCTTGCAAGACGTTTGGGAGGATGACTATCAGATGACTGTCTGGTTGAGTAAGAGTGAAACTGTGAATTTGTTTGAAAATAAGACATGAAATGATCTGCGTAATTTCCCTCTTTTAACTGTATCTTGTACATAAAAGCCGTCGCCAAGTGCTTGCTCATGGTGGGAACTGTTGGGTCTCTGTAAATAATGTTATAAAGAGTTCGGTCTAGACCTGCTCTATTTGAAAAGTGTCCTGAGATAACTTCTGTTATGATTTGGCGCTATACAAATAAAATTGAATTGAATTGAATTCAAAAGTAAATTTATATCGTAGATTGGAAATAAAGAAGCTAATTTGCTGATTTTTAATGGACTGCATCTTCCGCTTTTGGAGGAAAAAGATTGATTTTGAAGGTAGAAAATGTACTTACCCATGTACAGAATGTATGAGAAGTAAGGTCAGTTAAAGGCTGCGGAAATATTATCCACAATATAACGTACAGTACAAATAGGTTTGGTCACTTTATCATTGACATGGATCAGTGTGTTCTCTCAAAGATGACTGCTACTTGCGATCCGTGAAGAATATGCAATACGTCCTTTCAGAACTGACAATAATGAAGTTAGAAGATTACTTTATTGTCAATTGAAATAAAGGGTTCTTAGGAAGAGATGTTGGGCACAGTAGATGAGAAGTTGGGTTGTTTCTTTAGGTATCTGGTGACAGTTTTTCCGCTTTGAACTATGCTGCATACACAGGCAAACCAGGTAGCTTCTTTGATCAGTGAGTGAAAATCTTAAAGAACCAATGTTGTGTCAACTGTAAATAGAGAGAAATTATATTGGACACATTTGGTAAATTAGATTAGGGCTCTTTGCAGGCCCTCACCTTTGTACATGGGCAAGTTTTCATGGCAAAACAGGAAAGGTTCTTCCCGAACTGTTGCCACAAAGTTGGGAGCTCAATATTGTCCAAACCAGGCTCAACCCAAAACTACACTGCAGGATGTAAACATCCACAAACTTTTGGCCATATAGTTTATCTATTTATTCTCGGTGGCTTTTACTCGTTTAACTCATCGATGACTCATCAGGATGAAGTGATTTCTCTCAGTGAATCAGAGCAGCAGAACAGAAGCAGCTCTTTTATGCTTCACACTATTTATTAATCACAACAGCACATATAAATATGTACATCTCAATCACATACTTAATACATATTAATACATTATTGTTGGCATTATAATTATTATTTTACATTTGTACCTTGTATTTTCTGTTCTTGTTATTGTTTTATATATTGACTAACATGTTTTTCAGATGAAGACATATGACTCCCCAGTAGCTCACAGGTGCGTTCCATATACAAAGTCCTTACCAAAGTGACTTTTTACTGCATGTCATCCCTCATTTCCTGTAATTTGGTTGATCAAATTAAGGCCAAAAAAGCCCCAATGAACACATTATGTATAGTTTTTCTGCTTGATGTTAACCTATCCCTTATATGTAGAAACATGATGATTAACCATGAGATACTGACCAAACAGTGTTTGATCAGGTGGTGACACACTCAAGAGGTCCTCCTAATGTGTTAGTTTCAGTCAAGAAAGGAACTCACAGTCATCTGGGGATTTTTACAGAAATGTTGATTCAAAAACACAGACTTCACTTCATGTACCTTTAGGCATTTTTAGTATCTCCACAAATCTAACCTTAGTTTTATAATAAATCCTCCTATTAAGTCCCCTCCAGTCAGAAATCAGAGTTTCTTTCTGTTCCTACAGTGTGCTGTTTGAATGCTGTATGTGCAGAGTTTGACAGTGGAAGGATGTTTTCACATTAATCTGCTGAAAGTGGAAAGTTTCTCTGTGCTCATTGAAAATCAAATTTTAAGGGGCGGGACCTACCAGCATGATTTAGGACATCACAAATAGTTTGGAAGCAGTCCTGGTCCGGCAGGCAATTTACAGTGAAGTAGACATCTTGAGTCTACTTAAGAACTTTAGAAATTAACAACATTTGCATATTCATACATTTTGTCAATTTTGTCAGCTAAGAGGAGTAGATGCCTTTTTATGGGTTTTAATGTGAAATTTCTTTTTTTTTTGGCAGGAAAAAACACATCTACATACGTATATACTGTATGTCTTATGAAGCCTTAAAATCAAAGACTGAAATCTCAGAACTCTCAGAGTTGGACGTAGCTGAGACCTAACAGGTGAAAGTTTGGCCTCTTCTCTGTTTTGCTGTTGCAAATAGAGCCAAACTGAGTCACCTATGTTAATGACAGTATTTATGGAAATCCTTCAATGATAGATCAGTTAGGCTGTTATCAGTGAAACACACA